TAAACTGAGCAGGACCACGGAAAATCACTTTAATTTAACTAGAGCAAACTACTTGCTAAGGGTATTTACCAACATTAAAATGAGAAGTCGTGCGGATAAATTAATAAATAGGCTTATCTTAGGACATTTTTATATAATTCAGAGTGATCAATAAGTTAAGTCTATCGAGTTTTAATAGAACAGTATTTTTGAGATTTGAACAAATCATGTAGCTGCCATAGGATTTTTCTGAATTTTATAGGATAGGATTAGATGATCGGCATACAGTCGAGTGCCGCGCTTATCACATACCCGTTACTCTGTTAACGAGTTTAAAAGATTATGCTAAGATATCCATCTGTGGCATGTTAAATAACTAACGGTAGCGTCACTCCGTGGTAAATCGGTGAGTATTAGCAACGAAAGACTATTTCAGAATAAACCAATACATAAGTCTAATTATCATAAATAACATAGTTATAGTTTGTTTGCGTAGAAGTAGGCGTGTTGTTTGGTTGCTGCGACAACTGCTTGGTTAGTCTCAACTTTCTAGATCTAAGAATTCCTGAGATACACGCCCTTCTACCGATTACACTACCTTATATCACTGTGGGCAGTAAAATTTGGTCAACAACCCTCATGGTACCTTAAAGATGTGGTCAAAAAGCAGGTTCGCCAAAAGGAATCAAAGAATCCGATGAATAGCAACCAAACTAAAAGTCAAATCATAAGGTGTATACAATCTTGCAACCTGTGCAACTGTGTGTCAATATATATATATAAACGTATGTATATATATATTTTCTGAATTCTCAGAAAACAGGCGACCTAATTATAAACATGTCATAAATTTCTTGACTACCATATTTTTTTAAGAAGCTTTTGTTCAGTTTTACTTACATATGTGTATTAAATTTGTAAGATTCTACACATTCTCATTTAAACAAATCTTATTGCGAAAATGCATTTAGAATTGTCGAAGCTTGTCATTTGATTCCTTTAAAACTGAGAAAAGGTTAAAGCCAATGTTTTATTTTTAAATATATTATGTTTCCGAAGAGGCGATAAAATAATTATTCTAATTAGTTTAACTTAATCCAATAGTACTAAATAGTTGGCCTAACAAAAAATTGTTCTTATTCGGCAGCTCAGATTCTGCTTTATTCATACATTGTATATTAGTGGATATATGTTTGTAGATATACATACATGTATGAGCTAGAGCTGCACGACCAATCGTAAAATATTAATTATTTTACTAATGAGAACTTATGGTCTCTAGTCTCAATTAATTTAAAAAGCCCCTTCAGCGTATTATGATTCGGGAAATTTTTAAAATGTTTCCCATACATTATCCAGTGCTAATCTACTGTGTAGATTCGTGTGATCATTTGATAGAATTGGTCGAGAGTCGAGTAACTATGACAAAAACCTTTTTTTAGATTTCACAATCAAAAACAGAAGAAAGAAGGAAAGAGCAGAAACCCCATTTAAATCACATTCTATCGCCAAAAAAAGATGGGCTTGAGTGCATATGAAGTTATGAACTTCTTAAAATAATATCATTACAAAATGAAGGCATCAATTATATATTTAACGTGACATGCTAATTGTTTTGTCATGTTACTGCTGACAAAAACAACCCAAGTCAGGGTATAAATCTGGCTTTTCAGTCCCAATCCACACATTCAACATCAAGATGCGTCTCCATCTGCTGTTTCTATTGGCATTCTGCTGATGTCTGATGGTTAGTTTGATAAACTGTTTCACTATGTTTTAATGAAATAATATAAAATGATAAGCACAACACATTAAAATAAAATAAAACATAAAAAATATGAAATGGAAACTATATTTTAGCAGCTAGCCACAGCAAAAGTCAGTTCTGTTCGCACAAATGAGGCTGCTGTTCAGCATCGTAGTGTCTCTGGAGATCCTTTAAAAGCTTCACCTCCTAGGACTACCACAGAAGAACCCACAGAATAGACGGCTCCTGATTTATATGAAGGAACATATTGTACCCAAAGATTCTTTGTAGTCATTCAGCTGCAACATAAACTTGTTTACCAATCAAGACGGATTATTATTTAAAAAAAAACGTGAAATGGCTGTTAAGTCTATCTGACAGCTGGGGAATTGGGTCTGAAATAAAATCCTAGTATTCTTTTCATTTCATCACCACGTCTACTTAAAGAGCCCCAAACAAGAATCAGGATATGTATATGAATTATTTCAATACCTACCCGCCTAACTTCATTTCAAATAACTTATTCATTTTTTAAGGTATCCTGCGGGTGGGATGTCATTGTGAGTCACTTCTTTCAAAAAATCGCTGTTGGCGAATTAAGTGGACTGTATTTCTTTTTTCTAGGATTCGAGTTTATTTCTTAATTATAAGCGGGCTTACAAAATGTTAAGCGGGGCAGGTTGCGAGCGATTGCGAGCGAGTACAAAACTATATATATTAAACGGGACAAGTTGCAAGCGGTTGCAAGCGAGTCAAAAACTATACAATAACTGCCGAAAAAACGTACAGAAAAGATAATGCAGAAAAACGCGTGATACTGCAATACCAATGCAAATTTACTGCAATTTCGTCTATGCGTGTGGGCTTTAAGATTTGAGACGAAAAACAAAATGATGTGCATTTAACTAGCTACTAGCTAGATTAGAACAACAATACAATGATGGGCATTTAACTAGGTGCGATTTGACAATAATACAATAATGATAAATGGCCGATCTATTCTTCAACAATCGCACTTCTGGCATTTGTGAAGAAAAAGAAGATGGCAAAGCTTAACATAATGCATCTCTAAAGTTCTTTAAAATCAACAGATCTTTTAAAAATTTCTGGGACTAAGCATGTAGTTTCTAATGATGGCCCCAATGCGTATTATTTTTTCACCATCTGGACACGCCTACTCAAACGCCCACAAAATGCGGAAAACCAAAAACGCTTAAATCTCCGTAACTACAAGATCTAGGGAGTTCGGATTAGACATACATATTTTTGAATTGACATCGCAGCTCAAAGCGATATTTTTATACATCCACGCCCACTTTAACGCCCACAGGCCGCAGAAAACTGCGGCGTCCATAATATTAAAATGTAAGTCTTCGTATGACTTTGGATCACATTTTTTATTTTATATCTATTTATTTACCAACGATTTCGCATAGACAGTGACGTCACCATCAGTTATTCAACAAGCTTTTTCTGACAGAAGGTGACGCTTTGTGAATTTCCAATTGCAAAATGAATATTTTAAAATTGTATAAAACACTAACGGGTATCATATAGTCCCAGCGCACGACTATAGCGTTTCTTTAAACTTAGTAATGAATAATGACCAGTCATCCAGAACCCTCTGTTTTAGTCCAATTTGAAACATTTTCCCACAAATAGAAATAGTTGTGTGTCTTTTAAGGCTCAACCTAAACATAAACTTGGGTTTAGTAGGTCTCATCAAAATCTGTATGACCCTTTATGTCTAATCATATTCTTCTTCTTCTGTATACCTCTTTCTTGCACTTTTATATCTAAACAGCGATCTTACACAATCGAAAGATGCCTAGAGGACAGTACCTTTGCATCAAAAAGCGCAGTCGGACGATGTGACACCCGGGGCCATGCAAATATATGCACATGTTGATCCATGATGTAGATGCCAGACACCAAATGACGAGCCAATGGAGTTGATAGAACCAACTAAGATGCCTTCCCTCACTCCCCATCCCCTTCGAGTCCCTCTACATACCAACGCCCAGTCTGACATGACCACCTACAAAACAATACCACCCCAACCCGCTGAATAAATACTAGGCAGCTCCAAGTTGGATGTCCATAGCTGCAACATCAAGGGTGTAGCAGGGCCTCGAAACGGGAAAATGGTATTTGCGAGATCTTGAAATCTCTGTTAATGGTTTAATTATTGTTCTCTGGGAATCAAGGCAATTTTTTCCCCCGTGAAATCAAAAATTATTTTATAGGACTTCTTTGGATATAAGTCTGCTCTTGCTGCCGTGTAAACATTCACATTCAGAAAGCCATTGAGCAAACTGAGATGGGGAGTGAATGCATCCTTCGCTGCTGCAGTACTTCACTCGGTCACCCCTTCGAATCCTGCTCCCCATCCAATGCTGCTTAAATATGCACAAAGACTCACGCAAGGACAAAAGCCCGGCAGGATGTGCCAGGCCATGTGTGGGCGGGTATTTGGTGTTGGTCATTGGACGGGGACGGCTGCGGAGGCGTGGCTCTGCTGGTTGTCAACTGATTAAGCAGCTGGGTAGGAAACCAAGAGCCCAGCACACAGGACCATAGACCAAGGACCCACGTGAGGGTTCTCGACTCGAGGCATTCATATGGTAACAGGCGATTCACACCACTTGAACTGCAATTAAAAGTCGTAGACTGAATCCTGTAGCTGCCTCCAAAGAAGCCAAAAATGGGGCGTTTGCATCATTCGGACATTCAGGGCTACTCTCCGAAAAATCAGTACCATAGAAAAGTGAAAAGTGCTTCAATCGGTTCAAAAGTGTATTTTAAACAATAATCTTCCTAAATCCTAATTTCCGATTTAGAAAAAATAAAATTATGGTTAAAATAAAGAACATATTTTCACAAATAATAAGAGTTTCATATAAAATTTAAAAAGGTGGACTAAACATGGTTCTTAAAATTTATGTTTCTTATATTAAAAACAAAACTATATATTAATTAAATACTATATAAGCAAAAGTCCGCGTATTAAAATGTGGTAAGCCAATCATTTATATAGATAAACAATCTGATCTGAAGGGTTGTAGAAATTACGTGTCTTTAGAAGCATGTAATGCACAATAAATATTATATTTACGCATATATATTATTTGCATATAAAAAATATTATTTAAATGATAAATATGAACCATAATAAAATTAACGTAATTAACGTCAAACAGGTCTTTATGATTTTTCTTAATCTCAGTCGGAGACTTCTTCATCTGCCCCTTGTCCGACCTCTCGAAATCTCTCCCTAGTCAAGGCTATGGTCCATTTTACTCTTCTTGGCATTAAGCAGCTCCTTCTTATCATAGGCCTCTATACGCTCCTCCAGCTGGTCGACCTCCATCCACATTTGGGTCGCCACATGCCAGCGCGGCGGGGGATCGTGGTTGATCTGAGCCAGCAACGTCTCTAAACGCGTACGATCCCACTGATTGGCTTCCTCACGTCGATTATTGACCATGAGCTTCAGGTAATTCATCTCTCGTCCGCCAGAGTTAGCGATGATAACCCTGTCGGCTTTGTTCAATTTACCGCCATACACCGCCTGGCAGGATTTCTCATTTGGACCGGGGAAAGACGATGGCAAGACCTCCGCTGGCCCACTCATCATTATAGAGGCGGACGAAGCTGCCTGTGGATTTACCGCCGGCATCAGGTGAGTTGCCAACTGCTGCGGCGGCGGTATCAGTGGGGCCGCTGACTTCACCTTGTTCTGAGCCCATTTGCGCTTCAAGGAACCCAATGGCACGGCATCAGTTTGGACGCACACCGAGTGGTGAGTAGTGCTCTCAGCCGTCTGCACTGGCGGCAGTGCACTCCTCGAAGCAATCTTAGAAATGCGCTTCCTTGGGGCCATGGATGTAGCGTTGAGAATTTCTAGAGCTTACTTTTCGTCGTAGTTGCTCAGCCTGAGAACTTTCAGTTTTAAATTTCGAGCTGTCAGGCAAAAACCAACAGCCAACTATATGCTCACATAGCTTAGTAATGTTCAGTTTAGTATTAACAAAATATTAAATAGAGCTGTCACATAGATGGAATTATATTTATTTTGCCAATACCATTGGGCATTCTGACAATCGAACATACAGTGGTCATTACAAGGCCTACTCTGGTATGGGCTCACTACCTTCTTCCTCATTTCTAATACATTTTATTAGGCAGTTTTCCCTTTAAAGTGTTGTCAAGTAATTAAATAGTGTCTGTTAAAACTTCTAACAGCTTTTCTAATCTGCCAACATAAACAGACTCAAACACATTTTAAATATAAAGATGTTCTGACACTCGTATTTAGAAATCAATACTTTTTTAAACATTATAACTATTACAAGGAAGTTGAATGTTTATTCCTGTCACTTGCTGTGAAAAGGATATGAGTCTCGTATCCCTCCAGGTTGGCTTAACGTGACGTTTTCCCCACCAATGGTGTGTAACTTGATCACTATGCTTCTACGTTTCTTGCAGCTGTAGGCACTTCCAGAAACTCTCTTTATCTTGACATCGCCCTCTTCCTGCTCAGCGAGATCCACACCAAGACCCATGCCGATAGCTGGAGCAGCTGAAGAACGTTCTGGAGATGTATGGTCACTTCTCGGGTATAAATCGCAAAGTTCAGATCAAGTACCAACCAAAGGGTCGACGCGATGACAGTAAGTCTGATCGGATTCCTCCATATCCAAGTGCCTCGATTAACCAAAACGAACCCAATCTGGCAGCGGATAAGCCTGTGGAGCAGTCACTGATCTTATCCTTAAAGGAGTCGGCGAAATGACGCCGGCCGGTCGCATCCATGCGGAATAATATCATTCGGTGCATATATCCTGGTGGACAGGTCCTTGGCCTTCTAAGGCACTCGTTAAAGTTTTGTTAAACATTTTTTTCCACTGCATTGCAAACTTTTTAGATCTTTATATAATATTTGTGTGGGATATGGGTATATTAAGGTATTAAGCAGCCTATTTAATTTCATATAGGGACACACTGTTAGGAATTCCACAACCTCGTAGCTTTTTTCCATCAGCCAAAACGCCATATAGAACTGTCTCTTTCCATCAAAGAATGTCTATACCCATCACCCTCTTCCTAATAGAAATTGCGCCTTACTAATTTAAGTTGAAGTCATTCGATTGCGAATATTGAAGAGAGCAAGTGTCATCCACAGAGTGCGGAAGTCGTGAAGTTCAATAAAAAACCTTTGTTTCTTTAATTTACCTTTATATATATCCGAAATAAACATTATCAATTTGTACTACCCTACATATGCGTTTTTTTATTAGAACATATTTATAACATTAACAAGAAGAAACGCTTTAGACGAGTGCCGCGACTTTTTGCTAGTGGAAATTCACAAGGCGCCACCTATTGACTGTGGCGTCTATAATATTATTATAAATGCCTTCGTTTGACCTTGTATAACTTATTTCTGTTAATATCTATCGACTTACCAAATTTTTAAATCGGAACAATATTTGGTTAGTTATGAAGAAATTTATCTTATAATGCCTCACATGGACTGTGTCGTCACTATCAGTTACTTGTGTGGACTGAAATTCGAGAATCCATGCTTCAATGCTTGCAGTGATTTTCCTTGAACTTTATTGATAGTCATTGCGAAGGCCAGTCGCATCGGGAACTGCAAACTGCATTCGTCCCATATAAAAACTTGACACGTTTTGAGAACATCGCCCATTCCAGAGTTTTTGTTGATGCTGCACATTGGAGCCAGTGCTTTGTAAATTTATAAATCCAAAAGAGTTGCCGCAAATCCAGATGATGCAATGGCCAGTTCCAAAATGAGCGATAGAAGGAAAGTCTTGCCAGTACGCAAGAACTTTTCATACAAAAACTGAAAAATAGGGCAATTCCGACGCACAAGCTTTTTTCGTAAATTGCCAAAAAAAACCACAAAAAAATTGGTCGAATCCTTCACAAATCGTTTAAAAGTCGTCAAGAAACATAATGGAGGTCAATTATTAAAATTAGGAATTAAGAAAGTTACAGTAGTTGCACGAAATAAGCTTGTGCATCAGAATTGCCCTATATTTTAGTTTTGTATGAAAAGTTCTTTTGTTTTTTAAATTAGTAAAAACTTTTGTTATTATATTATATTATATGCGACACATTAACAGTACTGCGTTTAAATTTTTTTGATATCTCTGCTAGTTTAGTAGCGGTGTGAAATTTAAACTTTGGTTTATTCTTGCACGAAATAAGCTTGGAGCCACTGTACATATAGACTAGTGCGCCCGCCTCGGTTCGCTCCGCTTCTCAAGCTTGGCATATGTAGTCTTCTAAGGCTTATGTTCCATGCGCGGGGAAAATTAAATAAATACAACCATTTTCGTTTAGGTTTCTATTCAACATTTATTGAAGTGCTGTGGGATATACAATGTTTCTCGTTTTTCTATCAGGTGCGTAAACGAATAAATCACACGCTCGAGCAGGCCACATAGAGCTGCCGATGTGATAAGAGTGGATTCTTTAACACATCCCTGGCGTTTCGTTCTTAAATTTTATTGCGCTGCAATAAGTGCAAATTTTATCAATTTTTCCAGTGGCGACACCTGGACGAAGACTGTAGTCAATGTTACTGTTACAATGAAATGTTGCAAGATTTAAATCAATGCGTAGTGCTCGTCTTGATTGAACCACTCTTGATCCTCATGTGTCGCACTCAAAAGGCCCTGAGCATCGCGTACTCGATAACTTTCAAACCTTACTTGCCGTCGATACTATAGCGGACTTACATGGTTACATTTATTATACCCGTTACTTGTAGAGTAACAGGGTATATTAGAATCGTTGAAAAGTATGTAACAGATAGAAGGAAGCGTTTGCGACCCTATAAAGTATATATATTCTTGATCAGGATCAATAGCGAAGTCGATTGTGCCATGTCCGTCTGTCCGTCCGTCCGTCCGTCCGTATGAACGCTGAGACCTCAGGAACTATAGCAGATATAAAGATGATATTAAGCATGAAGATTCTTGAGGTCCCGGCACAGCGCAAGTTTATTTCAGCATCCTGCCACGCCCACTCTAACGCCCACAAATCGCGAAAAACTAAAATCGCTAAAATCTCGGTAACTATTACAGCTAGAAAGTTGAAATTCATTATGTATAAACGTTGGATGCCAGCGCATCTTATAGTGGTACTACTATCCGGCCACACCCACCCATACGCCCACAAGCCTCAAGGCTTTTCGGATTTTCTAGAAAAGCTGATATCTCGGTAACTATAAGAGATAGAAAGTGCGAATTTATTTTTTCCGATCAAGCCACGCCCACTTTAACGCCCACAAAACCCGAAAAACCAAAAATGCAAAAATCTCGAAAACTATAAGAGCTTAGGAACACGTATTTAAGAGATGCCCCTGCAACTTGCCACGAAGATGCATCCGGCCACGCCCACTCTAACGCCCACAAACCGCGGAAAACTGTGGCGTCTATAATATTATTATGAATGCCTTCGTTTGACCTTGTATAACTTATTTCTGTTAACATCTATCGATTTACCAAAGATTTTTAAAATCGGAACATTATTTCGCTATACTCGAAGAAGCTCCCTTAAACGGCTTATGATGTGCGTATGTGGGTCGCACATAACGTCCAACATACTCTGCCGCATCCTCCTCAATCCCATTGAAGATTTGTGCGAAGGAGCTGGACAGGTGCGTTAAAAAACGCGCGATAAAAACAAATTCCGGCTGAAGGTGGCTCTAATAGAAAAAGGGGCAGAATATTGGGGCAGAAACAACCCAAAATTTCGTTTCTTCGATGCCAAGACGGTTGGAAGCCTTTATAAAACAAAATGGCTTACCCACAAAGTATTAATTTTAGTTATTTTCATTTATTTTTAAGTTTTTCAATAAGTGTGCCAAAAATTTTGTTCAGCCAAATTCACCTCTTATTTATGTTATTTAATTTTTAAAAATCAACCATTGAAGGTAAAAAGTTGAAATAAACTTTGTCGTGTTATGTTTTTATAACATTATATGTATAAATTTTGGTTTATTTAAATATCTCAATTTTAAGGGGAGAAATCGTGCCCTAAAGTTCATGAAGCCTTCTGTGCCAAAAATTTAGTTCGGCACTGTAGGTTTTTATGATGCCCCAAATGCAAATTAATTTCCCATTTAGCCACGTCCACCCTAACGCCCACAAAACCCGGAAAACCAAAAATGCAAAAATCTCGGGACCTATAAGAGATAGAAAGTTAGGCTTAAAAACACGTATTAAAAAGATGCCACTGCAACTTGTCACGAGTTTTCATCAGGCCACGCCCAAAAGCCGTGAGAAACTGTGGCGCTTAAAATATTATTGTGAATGCCTTCGTTTGACCTCGTATAACTTATTTCTGTTAATATCTAAATTAAACATTATCAATTTGTACTACCCTACAAATTATTGGGGCTCAACCGGGATTATAAAAGGAAAAAAGAACAAAGAGAAAACTGTGCGTTAACACATCGAAAACTGTCGCGACGAAGAATGAAGTGAAGACTGAGAAAAAAAAGAAGTAAAAACTGAAAAGCGTTGGATGTAATTGTTAAACAAGAACAGATAAAGACGAGGAAAATCTAAAAAGTTAAAAAGATCGACTAACGTTGAAGCAGCAAATTGGTGTACGCAGACTACAAAAGTGCGAAAAATTTTGCAAAAAACTCTACTGTGAGCGTACCCAAAAACTAAACTCGAAAAAAACTTGAACCGCATAATCTGCGCGGTAGAGAAAAGAGAACGACGATGTACAGCAGTGGACTGGCCACTTGCTATTTTTGCGACAACAAAAAATTCCCTTTAGCGAAAAGAGGAGCTGCAAGAACTTGCAAACGACGCAATCCGCCAAAAAATTGCGAAGAGACGAGCAAGAAGTAGCAACGAGACGAGCAAGCAGTGCAGCGTGACGACATCGTAGAAGAGTACGAGCTGGAGTAGCAGAGTGGACTGGATTGCAAAATTCAAGCAGACGTAGAAGACAGCAAAATCCAATTGGGTGTGGTGAGCGACTGAGGCGATTTCATATATTTAATCTGATTAGAATTTGTTTTGAATACACGAATTGTTTAACGTCAATTAAATTCTTACTTTGTTGTATCAAAATATTTAATATTGAATTGTTCCACTGTTTGTAAACGGCTTGAACGCATTACTATGGATGCTAGAACGATCCTCGCTATGACAGTGCCTCTACTAAGGGCAAAGAAACTGGCAGAAAAGGAGCTTTGCAGGATCGAAACATACAACATATTAGTATAAACACATAGTACTAACCTGAAGAAGCGATAATCATTTTGAATTAGATTATTTAATGCTTTTTCGTCAGAGATATGCCAATTTGAAGTTGGACTACAAAGTTAACCTTTAAAACAGCTTGTGGTGTTCGCTTGCAAAAGCTGACTTTAACAGCTGTTATTTTAACACTAAACTGTTAAGTTGACATTTTAGACATGCAACATAGCAGTTTAATCATTTCTTAACATGGTAACATTAACAAATCTAAAATTTGCATACTCGAAAAATGAGTTTTGGCCACTCTAGCCCCCACAAACTGATTTAAATCTCTGAAAAGCATAAACGATTTTTCATAAGAACACAAATTTGATGGAATCTGTATTTTGGGAATAAATACCGGTGTGTTTAACATTCATAATTTTGAAATATAACAGATCAAATTTACATCCCCCAAATGACTAATGGTTCCAAAGTAAGCAAACCGTTTCCTAGGTGAACTCTGTATGACCCACAACAGAAATCCAATAAAACCTTATCACTTAAAAAAAATGGTATTTAAAATTCCCCGAAAACTTAAATATTTTAAGACATTTTGTGATTGTCCATCAAATTTTTTAGGTATTAAAAGTCAGAGAGTTATAATATTATGTCTTACTTTATTCAACTTATACCTGTTTATCTGTTAACCAATATGTTAAATCGCGCCTACAGCAGCATATGTATATTAAGGCGGTTTGTTAATTAACGGTGACGTCACAGCGTATGTTAGGACTTGCTAACTTTATTTCGAAATATTAGTTCGATAAATATTGTTCAATAGGTTTTCACCAAAAACATAATAGTTGTAAACAATCCAAACTTTTAACATAATTGTTGTTCACGTTAATGTTTTTGAGGTTAGAGTGGGCGTGATCGGCTGCAAAGGATTTTCTCGAATCGGAATTCCTAATCTCAACTAGTATACGACCAGACCAAGGAACCTGTTACATACCTTCCAATGAATACAGTAAACCCTCTTACTCTAAGAGTAACGAGTAGAATAAATATTGAATATGGCTGCGGCACCCATAATAATATAATTAATTTAAACTCTTTTGTCTCAAAGACAAAATTGCTCTTTTCCTTTTTGTATAAGTAACTATTTAAAAATATTGTATTTTAAAAGTGTAATTACTTGAAGTCGTTTTAACTTATTTTATTAGGGCTTAAAAATCATTCTGTTTTATCTTTTTTCAAATATTTACCATTTATTTAATAATAAAATTATTTTTGTTTTTTTTTGCCAGTGCACTTTCCGTTGCTTAGCACCCTCCAATTTGGAATTTGGTGGCCCAAACAAAAGCGGCAAAGACCACAACAAATGACGATGTGGAAAATACAATTGCTAGCACAGCCGGCGGAGCAAAAGCTCGAGGTGAGCTCGTCGAAATCCAGGAATGTCCTTCAAGGATGTGCGCGGTACGTAGTGACTTCCTTCTTAAGCATTATCAAACTAGAGCACCATCTTCTAGATCTGGGGGAACATCTCAAGCTGCTGGGGTTCCCGCGGGTATTTCCATTGCAATCCCTGGCCAATCCGCATGGCAGCCTGGCCAGTTTTCATATAGTCGCCGAACTCCTTCAATGGCTGGCTGGTCTGATGGAACCGGGAGCCACTATAACCGGCGGCGTGGAGTCAGAGGAGCAACGGGTTCTCCTTGTCCGTTCAGCCACGGAATTCTTTGTGACCAAGGCGCGCATTCGTCTGAATCCTCGAAAACTATACGCAGCCTCTGCGGTGACGGCAGTGGAGCTACAGAAAGTTACCCGACTTTTGACAGCCCCAGGGCAAAACGAAGCATATCGTGACGATGAGGACCAAAAGGACCAGTATAGAAGCCTTAACCCAGTGGATATTGGCGACAAGATGGAAGAGTTGCGTAAAGCTCGAGAGCTGGCAGCAGATTTATCTCAGCAGGGTACCGAAATATACGAGCTCCTTTCGTCGGAACTGCTTCACAAGGAGACGAGAATGTCGCATGCACAGAGGCCACTAGAACTGCTCAGTGTGGAAAGAACTCTGAAGAACGCCATCCAAGCCAGTCAAGTTCGGCTGCAGTCGGGTAAAGCCCAACTGGAGGCAGCAAAAGTTGAACTTAATGCTTTGGGCTCAAAGTTGCAACGCCGCAGAGCGGAGCTCGAAAGAACCCGCCAAAGATTGGAAGCCCTTCATCGTATTCGACCGGCACATATGGCCGAGTTCGAGGACTGCGAGAAGAATTTGCAGGAACTTTTCCAGCGATACTTCCTAAGGTTGCATGTTCGGGATGCTCTTAAGTCCCAACTTGAGTTACGTACTAAACGTGTCACGCCCATTGCTTCGCCCGTTCTGCAAAAGCCCGCAGAAAGTTCCATGCCCTTTATACCAGAGGGTCTCATAGAAGACGACGATGACGACGACGAGGACGATCTGGATGAAGAGGATGAAGGCAATAATGAAGGCGAAGCGGTTTCCGGTCTCGATATGGTGGTAAATGGCAGGAGTATGTTCGGTCTGGACTCGGAAATACCCGATATACGGGATGAGGACAAGCTGATGCAGCAGAACAGCCTCAATTCAGCACAGGGAAAACGTCCTGGTACTGCCAACTCCAGGATAAGACCTACAACGGGTAGGACTAGAAAAGGAGTAGGAGGTAAGAAAGCACATTGCTGACCCGCACAAATTTATCCTTTTGAAAGGTCTCTGCCGGAATAGATTTTAAACATCCTTTTTGGGTAGCCAGCACTTCATTTACAATTAGCTTATATTACATTTTCTTACTGTTTTAAGTAATTGTATTATAACTCCAATATAGCTTAGTGAATGTTTCTCAATCGGGGCTTAAGTAATATTTATACAAGAACGAAATCTTCTAGAAATTCAAACAATCCTCCAACATTGTTGGTACAATTTACCGAAATGTAACTATACGTTAAATTAACAATCAATTAACAAACCCAAATCGTGACGTAATCACCACCATATTATAAAGTTAAAAAAAAAACAAATTTCCAGTGGTTTTCCAGAGGATTCAACGGAAAAAAATTGTCGTAGGTAACAAATTATTTGAATTCCGATCATATTGGAACCAGAAAATGATTAATATTTTACCCGTTAGAGTAAAATCAATTAAATTTTCCTTGGCCTCCACTTGCAGCTAATGTCGGAGAACGCTGGTGAAGGTTGCCAATATTATTTATTTATGGCCTAAACAAAACATTAACCTACTGTTGAATAACCATCAGTGGCGGAAGCATCTCTAGAATCGGAATGTTTAGTCCCATCTTCTAGCTCTTATAGATTAGAACATCTCAACGTTCATACGGACAGATACGAATAAAACAAGAAGAAACGCTATAGTCGAGTGCCGCGACTATAACATACCCGTTACTGTTTTATACAATAGTAAAATATTAATTTTGCTAGTGGAAATTCACAAAACGCCACCTATTGTCAGAGAAAGCATGTTGAGCAAAAATGTCTTCATAAATGCCGAAACAAGCGAGATACGCTTGGTGGGCGTAATAGTATGTGTGGATAATGGTACCACCATGAGATGCGCTGACATCTCAAAAGTATTCATACTTAATCTCAACTTTCTAGCTCTAATACTTTTTGATTTCAGCGATTTTAGTTTTCCGTGATTTGTTGGCGCTAGAGTGGGCGTGGCAAGATGCTGAAATAAACTTGCGCTGCGCTTTTACTCTACGAGTAACTGGTGTAATTGTTTAAACTAAGATATTTAAAACATTAATCTTACGACTGTGTTTAATGTTTATTCCTTTATACTTTCTAATTCTCCATTGCAACGAAGAGTTAAACCTGAAAGAATCCTCAATTTTTGAAACAGCTATTAACATTAAACCTTTTTTTCATTCGCATTTATAAAATATATATTATCTTATTCATAATATATTATATATGTTTAATAAGTCTTATCAAATTGCGATTCTGATTGAAATGAACATTTATTTAGGAAGAGGCGTTGCTGGACCAGAGGAAGATGGTGATACCAAGACAACCCGGGGATCCAGAAGAGCTCCGCCTGGAGCAGATGCAAGTGGCACTCATCGAAATGGTCGCATCGGACCCGGAAACACTATGCTCAATTCCCGGGACGATGACAGTAGCTTCGGGAGCTCAGAGAGTGAACTGGATGTGGGCGAGATTATGGGCATGAGTGGACTGAGCGGCATTAGCGGGATAAGTGGCATGAGCAATATTGCTTTGGGTGCCGGGGACGATGATTGTAAGTCGACCAGCTATGTCTTTAATTGGAAATAATCTGTAGTATTATATATCCCAGTTGATCTCAATTCGATCGACGACATTAGCATTTCAAAGTTAACCGGAGAACTGCCGTTGCGACCGAAGACGGCCAATAAAGCGGAACACCACAGCGATGAGGATTTTTGAATGCACTACAACAAAGCATAAATGTTGTTTTACCTTAATAAAATATTGCAAGCATTTAATAAATAAAATAAAGAAGCATACTTATCCTTCAAGCTTAAATGGTCCCTGTTATTAGAACAATCTTGAGCTTTGCTTATTCCAACTTTACATCTCATATATCTCAGCATACATACGGACAGACGGACAAACAGACCTACGCGAAAAAATAAACCCGGGTTATTGATCCTTAACAAAAACATAAATAACATAGAATCGGAAACGATTCTATTCTACCTGGTACATATTTCATAGAACACGTTCTCCGCTTTTAATCTACTAGTAACGGGTATATAGAATGAAAATAACAATTTTACCACCCACAGGGTCTAAAAGTCATGACGAAAGTACATTTATACGAAAAATCAGGTCATTTTTAAAGGTGTCATGATACATGCTTTATTTAGGCAGTATTTATGTTTTACTAATAGGTGGCGCCAATAAAATTGTAACTTTTGTAACTTTGTGGCTGTTGAATGTATAAAAATTATTTTGTAAAACATTGAATAGATTTTATATTAAAATTATTATTTAAATTATTACATACATAGTGTTTTCTTTAAGATTTTTAACAATTTCGTAAGCACAAATATTTTCGGGATAAGGACTAGGAAATAAATACCAAGGTAATTAATTAAATTTAGTTTGTTTAACAAAAGTTTATTCGATTCATATTAATAAGTGCCTTAAAATAATACGCATACATATGAAGTTATGGGTAGGACTACTATAAAGTCTAATTTTCTGGTAACGGTATACCAAGATAAGCCTTCGACGTCGCTCCTTGGAAAAAATATGTACAAAAGACAGGTGAAAATTGAAATTTGGTCATTCCCCTTCACATTACCACATCCCGACAAACGATCTTAGTTGTGGAAGAGGCTCTCTGACCGCCGTACAGGTCTGAGGATGCAGACGATGAATAGTCAATGTGACTACCCGCTTGTGATTGTTCCTGCCTGGCCAAAAAGCTGTCAGCTATTGCTCGATCCAGTCCTGTATACTGAAAGTTAGGTGCTCCGTCCAAGACATCCGCCTCCGATTTGCGGCGCTGGCGGCGGTTGGCATCTAGCTTACTCGCCCGTCGGCGCCTTCGCTGACCATGGATCTCGGCCGACTTCGTGCTTTTGTGGGTCCGATATGTATCGCTTAAGCTGCCCGGATGGGCATACAACACGGATCCTGGTCGAATGTAAGGAAGGGTCATCCCACGGTATTGTGGCGGCAGCGGCGGAACCGGAAGCAAAAGTGGGGCTCCGGTGCCCGGTGGCGGGGGAGGCATGCGTGTAGGGGGCGGTGGAGCCATCTAAAACATTCCAAAATCGTTATCTTGCATATTAAGGTAATGCTTAGAGTATAGGATGCCCGTAGGCTGGCCAATTTCGACAGAAACAGATGACTCTTAATAATGTAATTACATTATATTACAACCAATGTGGTACTACAAAAAATTAATCGACAGCTACAACTATCAGATACCTGTTACTTATGCTAACAGAAGTTAACGCACAGACATGTGACATCTCAATCCCAGCTCAGCTTTAATACAGACAGAGAAACGGACAGACGTAAATGACTAAATGAACTGAGCTATCGATTCTAAGATCAAGAATATATGTTACTTCTGAAACGATAATGACCTTTACTTTATATATAACTATGTACATATCAATTAATTTAAAACTGACTGTATTTGCTGTAATTTGGTTATATACCAAAGATGCCCAGCTAGGCAAGATATCAAGATAAATAAACTATAAGGTATTACAAAATCTTAATTATTGAAAAATGTGCGTCATAGTGCTATTTCTATGCGCAGCTTTACTAATTAATATTTTAAATATTAAACATTTTAAAAATGTATAGTCAGCTGTAATAAATGTTCCATTTTTTTCCAAATTCCAGCAAGTATACTCACCCCATTGCCAGCGGCCGAGGGAATCAGCATTACCTGTCGCGAAGGGGGGGTCAGTTTACGAACGGAGGGCGGCGGTAGGTTTCCCATTTGAGCGGCATAAATCCACATAGCGGCCAGCTTCTCGTTACTCACCTAAAGTACAAAAAATCGGATAAAAGATGTCCACAACCTAATAAAAAACAAACTTGGCACACCTTTTCACTGCCATTTAATGACATCGCCTTAATATACTGATCCACCTTCTGTTGGTCCAGAGCAATTCCCGAAGCAGTCGATTTGATAATGACGTCACGCAGTTCATTGTGCTCCGATCTGCAATAAATCGGAGACATAAATAACACTCATTTTATTTTAAATCTAAGAACATTAAATCGGGTCAAAGACTTTACTTTAATTGTAGATATAATTGAATGTTTTTGAAAAGACACTAAGCATTAACCCAAAACATGATGATTCTTAAACTGATTCCGTTTTCCAAAGAGGCAGAAAGTAATTTTAATTAATTTAATCGTAGATAAAATTGAATGTTTTTAAAAGGACCAAACATCATCACCTGATTCCGTTTTCCAAAAAAAATATAGGAGCACACATTTAAATTAAGATTAAGATTAAGACAGACGGGCGGACAGACGGACATGGCACAATCGTCTTCGCTATTGATTATAGGGTCGGAATCGCTTCATTCTACCTGTTACATACTTTTCAACGAATATAATACTATAATACCTTTTACTTCTCGAGTAACGGGTGTACAAATGTTTACTTATTAAGAAGTTACGTCTACAAGCTTGGAATGTGTAAAATAACTACATAAGGCTAATTCAATTAAAACTCTTAATCGCAGGATAGACCATTCTCTCATTTTGAATACAACGGCAAATTTAGTTGACTCTTTCTGAACTCTGAATTGCCAATACAGCAATCATAGCTTATTTATAGATTTACAATTTTATATATGTACAGTATAATTTGCTTAGCTGCCTCGATACTTAGCTGCATCGTCAAGATAGCTGCCTGATATTTTCATTTTTCTGCATAATGGTCACTTTAGTATGAAAATAATTACGTTTGGTGCACCTAACTTAGCAGCCTTCTGCACTCAAGCGCATCATATCGGCAGAATTTTTTATGGTTTTCTATGAAAATCATGTAAGTTAGCTGCGCCATCTATTGAGATCGAAGCAAATTTTCTGCAAATATTTTGTTAACAATAATTTAGACATTGAAATGAAAATATAATTTGGCTAAATAAGATACACAATTTATATGTACTTTATTTGAGCCAAAGGTAAATTTTTTTTTCGTTCAAAAATTTAAATTAAGATAGCTGCATTTTTAAGATAGCTGCTTCGAAGTTGCGTGCAAAGTACTCGAGGCAGCTAAGCAAATTATACTGTATATTCAAATTTTAATTATGTGTATACATAAATAAGTTTTCTCAGCTATATTTTTCCGATGCGGCACAAAAAAAAATTACGTAATTTCTGGGATGAAATTGTAAATAATTTGAAATTATTTTTATTTTGATGCAATTTGTTAAAATTAAGGTTTGTAGGTTCACTGTATGCCTTTGTTAAGATTTCTAGTATTTTCCTCAACATACTATTCGAGAACGTTTCTGTATTGATGATCTGCGTGCACGGCCACACTGGCGAACAAATCGATTTATTCTACACAAAAAGAAACGCCATAAATTCGCAAAGTTGTCGCCGAAAAATTCGACACCCACGTCGCCACCATTAAGGAGTCCGCTGAAGTTTACCTAACAAAGCCCATATATTTAAGGAACTAAATCAAATCAGCAACACGACAGCGCAAGCTCGCCACGTCAGTGGGAGTGAGCTAGAGAGCATAAGCGAGCGAACAAGAGTCATTGAGAGATAAAAAAGGAAAAATGTTCAGTAACTTTAAGGAGCGTTTAATATCGGCCATAGCGCCAGATTTGCCTCCAATACCTGGCAGTGCGGAGCGGGGTAGTGGGCATCACAATTCCCAGCACCAGCGACTGCGATTTGGGGGATCTAGCGGACATCCGATGCCGGACAAGTTCCCCTACGCCCGACCGCCCTTTTTGCAACTTCTCACGCCAGATGAACTACGCGCATCAGCGGACCACAATGTGCGCCCCATCATCGTGCCACGGGACATAAACCTGCTTCCCTGGTGTACCGGATATGCCGAGTGCGTCAATTCAGGAAAGTCCGAGTGGAACGAAGACCAAGGCGCTTTCTGCCGGTGAGTCGGACAGTCTACGGCGGTCAAGGCACCCTACTATCGATTTGATCAGAAGTGTAGATCTATTTACTCAAATTTCTAGATCCCTTAAAAATCACCTATAAGTGGGCCAGCTTTAAAAGAGCACCTAACCTACTTATCCACAATGTATGTTCTTGTCATTAGGTATTGTTAAGACCAACTAAGATGTCTCTTCGAAGCATTTCGTCTTCGACGAAAGCATAACAGTCTCATTCGCGAGGCATTGGGTTAATTCGAATTTATTATGTATAAATGCATCAACAGAATTATCTGTTAAAGGGGCGTAAGCTTTCAGACTTAACTTTCCTCAGACACAGAGATTTCCTCAAATCATATATATCATAAATATTTCACTTTCGAGCCAATATGTATGTATTTAAATCTGGAATTCTTAGAGAATATTATTTCAATAATGTTTGCATGTTGCGCCATTATAACTAAAACTCGTGAGTTATTTTTCAAGACGAATGTTTGTTTTTTATTTTTTTCTAGACGCGAGTGTCAAATGTCTGTGATGACCAACTAAGATTATTGTTTACACATGATAAGATAACGTTTAGATTTAGTGCACGTCACTTTTTGTCTCCTATTAACGCATTTGCTGAATTACTACTATAAGTTTTTTAACCCAATAAAATAAACATAGTTGGTAAACAACAAGTAGTACAGATATTCGGTACAGGAAACTGAAAAACAGTTGAAAGCAAACTATATATAGTAAATTGTGATATTATACTATAAAAATCATTAGCAAATGACAGCTTAACTTTTATCTATGTAAGTTTGATTTCGAAAAAAAATCTTTTGTTTTTTTTCTCACATCCAGGCAAGTTCTTTCAGATCCGGAGCACAAGCACCCAGATCTCCCGTACACTTATTTCGGCATTTTCGACGGACACGCCGGATATGGAGCAGCACTGGCCGCCTCGCATCAATTCCATCACATCCTGCACGAAAAGCTAGTGGACTGCCTGGAGCTGCTCCTGCCACGGGATGCGGAAACTACCAGTGGCGGGGTTGATGGCACTAAACTAAATCCCGCATTCCCGCATCCTATATATTTCCAGCGCCGAGTAACTAAGGACGAGCTTATCATCGGAGCTCTAGAGAGTGCGTTTTTTAACATGGACTCGCTAATAGCGCAGGACAGTGATCGTTATCGAGATGCCGGTGGTTGCACCGCCTGTGTTTCATTGTTTATCGATGGCAAGATGTATGTGGCGAATGCCGGAGACTCCAGAGCTGTGCTCTGTCAAAGGCGTGCAACTCCCCAAAAGCCTCGAACGGATACGGACTCTGTCATTGAACCGGATCCACTAGAAGCTAGTTGTTATCCAGTGCTGTATTCTGCGGATCACACGCCTGAAACGGAACGCGAACGTCTGCTAAATGTGGCCAAATTAAAACCACACCTCATGGGTCAACATTATGTGGCCATGGAGTACTCGAAGCGACCGCACATCAAGGACATGGGCCAGCGCATTCTCTGCAGGCAAGGTACCATGCGTGGCTGGACATACAAGACACTGACTAGGGATGATCTCCGCATGCCGGTAGTCAACGGTGAGGGCAAAAGAAGCCGCTTGCTGGGCACACTGGGTGTAACGCGTGGTTTTGGCGATCATGAGCTGCTGGCCATTAACACCGGTATACAGATAAAACCCTTTCTCACGCCCCATCCCGATGTGAGGCAAAGAGATCTCACGCAGGTGGTTAGTATTCCCGATGAGGACAACCGGGATGGTGATTACGGAGTGCTCGTCATGGCCACCGATGGACTGTGGGATGTTTCCGAAAATGAAGCCGTTTCTCGCACCGTCTTCCAGACACTTTCCAAATATCCAGCAGAGAAGCATCGCTATACGATGGTTGCTCAGGAGCTGGTGGCTCGTGCTCGTGGAAAAATCAATGACTCCGGGCACTGGCGTCTCGCCGATAGTAAGGCAGCAGCCACTGTCGATGACATATCGGTGATGGTGATCCCCGTTAGTCAGTATTACAAGGAGCACGTGGAGTGGACGCAGAACTACAAAAAGGATCTTGAAGAGCGACGCCGACAGGCACGGGCCAACGTGGCCCAGGAGGCGGTGATCGTGCTCAACGGCGTTATTGCCGAGGAAGCTCACGTCGTCGAGGAGGAGGAAGAGGGTGAGGTGATTGTCCATGAGGCCAAGACTTCGCAGAAACAACAGCGACTAGAGGAGGCAGTCGATGAAACCCTGGAGGTAGAACTGACCCCATCACTGGAGCAGGTTCAACTTAAAGATACCGATTCAACAGGTAAGCGAGTTGTTAAACTAAAATCTTATCTTATAGTTGATCGCTTTGATTTCAATTCATAAACAAAGACTATATAAATATATTTCCTTATAATAATAAGTGATTTGTAATTTAGATTTAAGTGAAATGCCAAAGTAAAAATAAACAAAGCATTCACTATAAGAATTTTAACTTCATAGACTTTAAAACTGTCATCTAAAATTAAAGAGTATTTTTACTAATATCATATATTTTAGCGGATGACTTTTGCAAGGATAAGGATAAGGACAGAGTCGATTCAACGACGCGACAGCAGCCGCATCATAAAGGTCGTAAAGGCAAAGGCAAGAACTAGGACAAAGAACCTGTAACACAGGCCGATAAAGTATGCTTATTTAAAAACAGCGATAATTAAACGGATGCAGATGAGACAGTTATTGGCACGTCTATATTTTTTTACACTTCACATAGGAACAAATTCAAAACATTCAAAGTTTTTACATACTTCGCTTATGTACTAACCAAAACGATATAATTTCGCAAGTCAACTTAATTACATTCTACAATAATTTGCTGTAATTAAGATAGTTTGTGTTGGTCCAACACAGTTATTGAATGAACAAAGCTCCTCAGCAATGTTAGGAAAAGTTCGATTATCACACGTGAACACTTTACGATTCCAATTAAAAACTAAAAACACGATAAATAAAAAGTATTTTAAGCTGCGTAAAACATAAACGAAATGATAAAATAAAATAAAACAACAATTATTGTTAACTAGATGAGAGCGAAATAATTATTGGGGCAAATAATACTATGATTTACAAAATCGGAACATTATTTTGCCATTTAATAACACATTTAGGTAATATGAAATCACATGAGCAGTACCGCCACCGGCTGAGACAATTATTTAATATTGATTAACAGAGTAACGGGTATCTGATAGCCGCGACACATGAATATAGCGCAACTTCTTGGTTAGGGTGGAGTCTTGTAAATGTCTTCGATCACCATTTTGTGATAAGACCTTATCTGAAATAATAAAAACAAAGCGATAACCACTAGAAACGAATTATTTCTTTCACTCTTTACCAAAATCCCTATTCGAACAAAACAATTTAGAACTTTAAATTTTTATTATTTTTCCTGTTTGGTTTTATGATTCAACGTTACAATAATTTTGAATAGATTTCGATTATAATCAAAATTAATTTTCATTAAATTGTTTAGTTGGTTTTGTCGGATTTCTTTCATATGAATATATAGTTCTGGAAGCTGTAAAAATCTACTATGAAAATATATGTACTTAGCATTCGAGTATGCAACTTTCTTTATGCTTATAGTGTTTCTTCGATGTCCAGGGTGAAATCGTAATTCGATTATAATGATTTTAGTGGCCATGAGGAGGCTGGGAGCTGCGAACAACGTGGGTGAATTTAACATTTTAAATGGTTTGCCATCTCTGTCTTTTTTGTGTAGGTCTAAAACTTGATTACAAACCGTTGGTATGTTTTCGTTATAATTTATTATGGTTTTTATCTACACAGACTTTTTGAAACAGTAATGTCACTTAGAAATACATGGGATTCAAATTAAGAGTGCTACAGAAATCTCGTGTTGAGTTTTGGAGATTGCTGTAAATTCCAGATACTGACATATGGAAAATTTAAACTGTCATTACTCTTTTTACAAAATGCGTTTGGATATATCATCTCTATTATATCAATGTTATGTCGAATATGTGAACATTTTAATTGGTTTTCATTATTATATGTTGAAACTTTCAAGAGTATTGATGCTTATATTTCTGCAAATATCTTGTTAAGGTTTAGCATAATTTTCGAAATAGATTTTTTCCAAGCTGATTTTCAAAATAACATTTTTAGAGTAATGACTTGTGTTCAAATTGTAATTTACTTCTAAGCTAGCTAATTAAATATGTATGTTTAGATAACAATACGTAATAATTCCCCACACTGCCAAAATACTTTCCTTCTTCTAGGGAGCAGTTCCTCACGAATTTTCAAGTTTACCTAACATATTTAAGGTAATGTATTCAATTATTGTTTTAAGTTAGCAGTAATTTCTGTATCGGCACAGCGCATAAATCTTTTTACCATACCTACATACACACGCATACACAACACCCTTACTTTTAAAGCACACACACAACTAAGTCCCGAAAATGTCGGTGAAATTGTTGTTGTCCAGTTGACTTAGCTTGTTCAAAAATTGATTTCTATTCACACGAGTCTTGTACATACATATTTGTTAGTTTTTGTTCCTCTTTTGTTTTTATTCTTAAACTTTTCGAATACAATTTTTAACAAATTTCATTGCACACAAAGTCAAGAGGATTTTTCTTATAAAATCACATTTTTAGTTGTCTTTCGGAGTGGCAAAGTACGTTTTCGGCAGCTAGTTCATACCCAGCAAGCAATTGGAAGATCATTTTTGAATTTATCAGCTTGGCGAGTCTTCTTCGAGTTGTTGAAATGATTAAAAATAGATTCGTTTTATGCGCGACTAGAAAATGACTCGAAAATGTCTCTAAAATGAGTCGTAAATGATCTTCAAATACGATATATAAAATAGCAAAAACAAAATTGTAAAGCAATCGAAAATTAATCATCCAGATGATTGAAATGAGATTATTTGTTGCTTTGCATTAACATTCGGTAAGAGAACTTGTAGCTTAACAGCGCTATCTCTCTTGGTTTTCTGTTCTCTGCTTTTCTCGTTTATCTTTTTCAAACGGTACTTTTCACCAAATTTGAAGTGGTTGCTGCAATGTTCTCCACTTTTAAACTCAGTTTTAACTTTGTGAGCTCAGTGAGAGTAGGTAAAGTGAAAAGCATATGTCTACAGAATTGGCTACAAATTATAGTTGGAAAAGCACCAACATAAAACCAAGCGCTAAAGAGTGCTTCTTATAACAATAATTAAAAGTAAGAAAATATTTATATTATTGTTGAGCAGCTATTCGAGCTGGTACATTGACCTTGATCTCATGTGCAGAAGCGGAGATTGGACCACCTGGAGAGTCTCTGGGGGACTTCAAGGTGTACTCCACATCAAAGTAGAAGGCATCGTCCCGACTTACTGCCGGTATAAAAGGCGGTCGCACCTGTTTTCTTTCCAATCTCACCCAGTCGATGGTGGCGAAGAAGCAGTGCGCCTTGATGTCTAATATTCCTTGGGTACCCGCACCCAGTCGATTTAGGGGATTTCGTTTGAAGAGAGCCCGCAACAGTGATTGTGCTTCCGGTGCCAAAAATATTAGAAAATTGGCTACAAATTATAGTTGGAAAAGCACCAGCATAAAGCCAAGCGCTAAAGAGTGCTTCTTATAACAATAAATAAAAGTACGAAAATATTTATATTATTGTTTAAAAAAAAAGTAATATTTTTCTCCTAGTCATTTGCCACATAAAATTCAAATGCACGGATAAGGACATAAACATGGTTTTTCAAAAATTTTCCGTACATGCCAAAGACCGTGTTAAAAAAAGAAAGTGCGTGAATTAGTTTAGTTGCTATTTGATATATGTACATATATATATATAATAAATAAAAAATTCAAGAACAAAATATTATTGAACATTTCACTTATTTTCGATTCTTATATGACTCGAAAAAGACTCGCTTCTTGCGAGGAAAATGAGTCGAAAACGACTCTTCCTGAGCTGTCGAATACGACTCCTTAGGAAGTGTCGCGGCTACGGTTCCATTTTCTCCCGAACAGAGTATCCTTTTCGATCAGAAAACGAGCGCACTTATGCTTATTTTAATCTTCTAGGAGAGCCGAAAATGACTCAAATTCGATCAGAAATTTCATAAAATGCTTGCTGGGTATACTTGTATATATGTACACATATATCTGTAGACATTTATATGGATTTGCCTAATTCTTAACGATACGGCGACAGATATCAAATCTGTATTAGGATGTTAGTACAGTTATATGTAGAAGAAGATCCCATAGATTTTTACGGCTTGGGTTATGAGCCACTCCATTCTAATTCAGAAAACTACCCATCTGATTACAATAATTAAGGTAATGTAAAACGGTACAACTTATCATGGAAGACATCAGCGAATGAAATAAGAAACCAAGTTGATGTCTTAACAACTATTTTTTGGGCATATGATCAAGCTGTGCATTTTAGGACCATCAAAAGCTGACATAGGTTTGGATTATCAAATTTGACTAATACTACAAACGCAATTGGGAAATGAGATTTCAATTATTATTTAGATACATAATTTTCTTAGATATGAAAATGCAAAATAAAATTTTCATTTGATATCCTGGACTTAAGAGCCCGAAAAGCACAGTTTTCGCAGACACTTTTATGTACATACATAATGCATAATTTCGTAATTGCGTATATGGTTAGCTTAGTTTTTCTGCAAAATTGACATTAAAAGTAGATTTTGTGGAAAACTCTATTAGTTTTGGTTTTTTTTTTTTTGCTTTTCCTATGGCTCATTATATTTTACATAGTTTTTCATTATCATTCTCCTCATAATTTGGCGACAAAAGTTGTTATTATTATTAGAAAAGGTTTCTGGCTTTTACTACGGTTTTACGATAATACTTTCTTTCATTTTCATTAAAATTAATTATTTAAACAACAATAACATGGTGATGTTCAAAAATTTAGCTACGATAAATTTAATTTAAAAAGTGTATGTTTTATATATGATGTATACTTGTTTGTGCAACGGAATTACTTTCGATTTCGTGTGGAGGATAAATGCTGTGGGATCAGGGCTCATCTGGTCATGATCCTGACGCCACATGCACAAACGCTCTCGAAGCCCTAAACTTTGTACAAATAACTATATACATATATATATATATATATATATAAATATAAATAAACATATATATATCAACATATATATATATATATATATATATATATATATATATATATATATATATAGAAATTTATATTACAGGTATATATACATATATACGTAGCTGAAGGTATACAGATGCCAATTGCCTTTTGGCATATTACATCTTCTTATGATTTCATTTAAAATAAATAACACTTGTCAAATACCTAAAGTTGGCTCAATTGCTCACCAGCTTAAACTACGCGCAGCTTGGCACTGCGGCAACGTTGGCGAGGATTGGCCAGTCTAACATTGCCCTTGACGAAACGACGCGGTATTGCACAACAGCATTGGAATAGAATACTATAGAGTCTAAAAACTAGCCGGATTATCTGCCTTTTGGCCTGGCGCCGCGGACACCGCGCTGCGAACCAGGATTATGAGTGCACATTGGCTCGATCTTTGGCCCGTCTCTTGGCCAGCATCGAAAGCTCTACAGGACCCACATTAGCCGCCTGTGGTATGGCAATGGCCCGAAATGTAGCATCCACAGCTCCTCTTAACGCCATAGAAATGTGATTCTGCTGCTGCTGTTGGGCGCCCAGAGAAAGTTGTGATCCAGGCGCCACTGCATACTCTGTTAGCTGTACGCCGCTAGCGAATTGTTCTCGCAGCCAGGCATGCTCAAGAATTTGCGCAGCCGTTGGCCTATTCTCGGGCACTATATGCAGCATCTGCCGCAACAGCTCCTTGGCAGGCACACTGACTAGTGCCCAGCGACTGCTTGTAAAGTCAATGTGTCCCGACCCGATGCGTTTTAGTATCACGTCCGGTGAATCATTCGGAGTGCTGGCAAAGGGCGTCCGGCCGGACAGCATGATGTAGAGTAGGACGCCAAGCGACCAGATATCGCAGGCCAGATCATAGCCCTGTCGCTTCAGCACCTCAGGCGCTACAAAGTTTGCTGTGTAGCAGGGTGTCATCAGGAGTCCGTTGTCCGCTCGGAGCTGTTTAGCAAAGCCTGGATAGAAATCGAAACGTTACTTCTTCAGAAAGGAATACACTAACAGATCCAGCATGGCAATTTGTATCATATCCTTTCTGTCGGTACTAACTAACTTGGGTAATCATGGACATACTTTTAAAATATTTTTCTGTTTAAATTAAAATTTATAGAAAAAAATATGATCACATGTTAATGTTTTGATAATTACATTCGTCATTGAATTTTTTTTAAGATCTCAAATATGATTTGAAACAAGAATTTAACCCGATATACCTCAAACTGTCAGTACCCACATCAAGGCTACATATCTGGATATAATAATTAAACAAACTCACCCAAATCGCAGAGCTTTAGGGTCTCGGGTGTCTGTCGCATGCTGGCGTATATCATATTCGAGGGCTTCAGATCTCTATGGACCACGCCGTGTTCATGGAGATATGCTACTGCGGATGCAATTGTCTTTAAAACTGCGCTAGCCTCGCTCTCACACATCTGGCCTACGGCTAGTATACGATCGAGTAGCTCTCCGCCTTTCAGCAGCTCCATTACCAGATAAGCGGAACCCGCATCCTCGTAAACAGAATACAGAGTGACGATATTGGGGTGGTTACCATATCTTAGCATAATCTCGACCTCTTCCCAACAATCGGCAGATGTGGATGCTGCGGCCACTGCTGCCTTTTCAATTACTTTCACAGCATAATGTTTCTTGGAGGTGCGATGTTCGCACAGCCGGCAAACTGAAAATGTTCCTCGGCCTAGTTCTTGCAGAAGATTGTACTCAGCATGGAAGTTACCAGGTAGAACACCGGGTAAAGTGCAAGGCGCTACCGCCGGAGTAGCAGGAATTGGAGCTATATTATGTAGCGGACTGGCACTGGCAGAGCAGCTATTCGAGCTGGTACATTGACCTTCCAGAAGAACAGGAGCCACAAAGCTGAAGCCGCGGAAAATCTCATGTGCAGAAGCGGAGATTGGACCACCTGGAGAGTCTCTGGGGGACTTCGAGGTGTACTCCACATCAAAGTAGAAGGCATCGTCCCGACTTACTGCCGGTATAAAAGGCGGTCGCACCTGTTTTCTTTCCAATCTCACCCAGTCGATGGTGGCGAAGAAGCAGTGCGCCTTGATGTCTAATATTCCTTGGGTACCCGCACCCAGTCGATTTAGGGGATTTCGTTTGAAGAGAGCCCGCAACAGTGATTGTGCTTCCGGTGACAAATTCTCTGGCATGCCCAGTTTACTTCTAAGGATCTGATTCATAGTCTCCTGGCGTGTTTGGCCATGAAAAGGTAAGTTTCCAGTTAGCATTTCATACATTAGCACCCCGAAACTCCACCAATCAGCTGCAAAATCGTGCCCCTTTCGGTTTACAATCTCCGGCGCCATGTACTCGACCGTACCACAAAAGCTGTACGTTTTGGAGCCATCTAGAGGCTGCTTGGACAGGCCAAAATCCGTCAAGGCTATATGACCATGCTCATCAAGAAGTATGTTCTCTGGTTTCAAATCCCTGTAAATAATTCCTAGCGTGTGTAGGTGATTCATGGCGAGCGCCAGTTCCGCAAGATAGAACTTGACATCTTCTTCGGTAAACATTACTTCTTTGGATAGACGTGTAAACAGGTCGCCACCACGAAGGAAATCCAGTATCAAGTATAGTTTCCCGGGGGTTTGGAAGGCATAGTGAAGTCGGACGATGAAGGCATGTCCTACATCCGCCAAGATCTTGCGTTCATTTGTGCTCCTAACGCGATCCTTGACTTTAAGGGTGGCCTTCTTAAGCACCTTCATGGCGTACAGTGTACCAGCATCTTTGCCTATTATTTTACGCACCAGGAATACCTTTCCAAAGCTTCCTTCACCCAGCACACGCAGCAGTTCGAACTGCGAGGGATCGGCCTTGTCGTGCCCCTCTTTAATTACCTCCTTAAGCTCGAATTCGTTTTCCGTTTCGTCTAGGTGTTCGGCATCTTCTAAGTCAGGTGCTCCTCCCCGTGTTTTCCCATCTTTAATTCTAGCTCCAACTCCCTGGGACTCTGAATCGCTCAGCTCCATGAGCTCTGGCGGAGGGAAAAGTGTTTGACGCCCTGGCCTTTCACTGGTGCACTCCTGCTCTCCTGCGGGTGAAATATGATGCTGTTCCAAAGCCGCCTGCAAGGCACATTGCTGTTGCAGCTGATGGCGACGCTGTGATGAGGTCACTGTGGTCACTGAGGAGGTCATCCCGCCGCTGCCGCCACCACTTTCTTCGTCCTCGGTGGGTGTGTGCTCCATAGGCGTGATTGCCAGGCTGCTGCAGCCGGATGAGGTGATCTGGATGCGCTGGCGCAGCTGCAGGCCCAATCCGCTGTTGCTTTGCTGTTCCGCATTGTTGTTGCTGCCGGTGGAGGACACATGCTGCTGCTGCTGCTGAGGCTGCTGGCGGAGATCCTTTTGGGAATCTGCCAGCGGCATGACTTTGACGGCTGCAGGCGTTATAGGGTTATCTTGCCGTTTTTTTTTCTGTTTTACCTTTCTAGCCAGCTAGTCCTACTCACCCACCTATTTTTCCTCCTCCTCCGCTATATCCCCTTCTTCCGATTTCTCTTTTGTATTTATTACTTCCGCTGCGTGGGCGTCTCTGCCGACTGCGCTGTTGCTTCTTCGGATTTCTCGCCTTCCGTGCTGCCCTATTTACGGTCAACGAGCTACACTTTCTCAATGCGGAAACGACTTATAGCCGTCTGCTCTACTATCCGCTTCACAATCTGCACAACTGTGTTTCTCCTTATCACTATTATTTACACATTAAACAATAAACAATGTTTTTATTTTAGAGCTGCAAAAAAATCGATGTTAACATCGGTTGTATCGATATTTTAATTTCTATGGACACATCAATTCGATTTTGTGTAATCGATGTTTTAAAATCCCTTGTTAACAAAAACATTTATTGTAAAATGAACAAATGAACAAAAATGATTTTTATTTATATTTGTTTTTTCTGTAAATCAAAAACATAGATTTAATTAAGTTAATCAACTATAACCGAGAGTGGTCACACTTTCAATATATACTTAATTGTAAAAAATACTAAAAGTTTTTGTTTGACTGCCACAGTCTACCATAACTGTTTGGTTTTGTTGCATAAAACAAAACCTTTCCAAATTTAAAAATGTCTCATCTATCTAATATTAAAAATCTATAAACAGGAATATGAATTTCTACTGAATTCATTATAGATAATGTTCAGAATATTTAATTACATTTTTTTTTTGATTCGTAAGAAAATAGAAAAATTTCTTACAAGTTTAAAAAAAAGCGAAATATATAGCATATATTATTTATAATTTCTGAATTTTTATTTATATATAAGATCGATTAGGTAGTTGTAATATTAATAAATAATATCAAAACTGCATTGGAGCAGTTTTTTAAAATTTCAGTAAGTGGAACCCTTTTTTCATTACTTCAAGCTTCTTCTCCACCGCAACCAGTCTTTGAGCTTAGGCTGAAGCCGTAAGTTAATTCTCCCTGCCAATTATAAGTCAGTGTTAGAAGATGCTCACGAGTTTTTGAAAGAAGTAAAACGCAACCATGTCCCAACTTTGGAAAAACACCATCGACTCTGGGGTCTCGAAGTTCAAGCACCCGCGGAAGAGCGCTCGCGGAACTTGTTCAGAGATCAAATTTTCAGGTCCAACTGGAGGGCCCACACATTATCCATACAGCCAGAATTCGCCAACAGCCATTAACTTTGCAGTCTACAGAGTGATACGCCCGGAGTGTCTTTCTATTACAGAATATGTTGAACTGAGCTCTGATATCATTCCATTAATTACACACACTCTTCCTCGAAATGCAGGTGTACCGCGGTTTCAAGCTGTAATTAACAAACTTGTTAATCTCAATATGGTGGTGAACTCCTCTAAAGATATCAACGATACTGTTGAAACATTTGCTCGGAACATCCATATCGATGCGGAATCGTCAACCTGCGGAAAAGTCTCCATCTCAGGCACTTTTATAACCTGAGATTATGGACATGGACTTGGTAAGGCTAAAACGATCATTACGTCGTAGATATAAAAGGTCCCAAGATCCAGTCGATAAAAGAGCATATCAACATGCTGAAGACGAGCTTAAAAAACTCCTGCGTAAACCAAGCGAGAGTTCCTTGAGGAAATGCTTCTCAATGCGGAAGCATTGCGGAACTCTATCGAGTTGTGCACCATATTCTGAATGCCTTTGAGAACAAGCAATACAGCTCTGCTATCTTCCTCGACGTTAAGGAAGCCTCGGGGTTGGCATGATGGCTTGCTGTATAAGCTGAAATCTCTTCTCCCGACTGCCCAATACTTAAATAATATTGACTTGGTCGAAGTTTTATGGTTGAAGTAAGAGTGGTGAGGTCAAGCATAAGATCTGCTCGTGCTGGAGTTCCACAGGGGAGTGTCCTGGGTCCCGTGTTGTATACCCTGTTCACTTCAGACCTGCCGAATGAACCAAACACACTTCTGGCCACCTACGCCGATGACACAGAGATCCTAGTCAACTCCTCTTGCCGTATCGAGGCATCAAGAATCACCCAGGAATTTTTGGACTCATACGGTAAGTGGACTAACAGGTGGAACATACCGATTAATGGAAGGAAGTCACAACACTGCTGTTTCGCTTGGAGAGTGCAGTCCCTTCAGGAGGTTAACCTTCACGACGACATCATCCCGCCTCATTTTGGCTAAGCGTCTCACATTGAGGCAGCATACTTTGAAAATAGCAGCTACTTGTCGTTCCAAGCTTAGGAAACTCTACTGGTTGCTTAAGCCAACGAGCAAACTTAGCTAACAAAGTGCTGCTGTATAAATCAATTGTGGTGCCCTCGATGATGTACTGCACCCAACTATTGGGCTTGGCTTCGGACTCTAACGTCATGAAAACACAAACGGTTCAAAACCGAACGTTGCGCATGATTGCAAATGCGCCTTGGTACGTTATAAACAAAGCCCTAGCAGATGACCTCCACATTCCCTCTATTAGGGAACAGATAAACAGGCACTCGAGTCGGTACAACCACTTAGCTTCTTCACTGGCTAACGCAACTATTAGAAGACGTCTAAAGCGAAGGCATCCAGCCGATCTCTGGACAATAGGACGCCAAATTTCTCGAGTCTTAAAGCAGTAATCTAGCATTAGTATTAATAGTATTAGTATTTATCATTGATCTCTAGTTATCTAGTTATAAAAATATGTTAATTCCTTCCAGCTATGTATTTATGTTATTTGTTCATTATTGTTCTCAACGTATTATAGCCATTTAGTTGGCTGATTGACGTTTTATAAATGTATTTATTGTTATACCAAATCTCCCCACTAGGTCCTTACCCCACTCATTTTTAAAAGAACTCCGTTTTAGTGCAATAACGCAAAATAAACAATCCCAAGTTAAACGGGTTGATATGCATTTCAGATTAACTTGAATATTAACCAAACAAAAATGAACGCTATAGTCGATTGTAGCGCCTATAAGATACCCGTTACTGTTTTATATAATTTAAAAAAATGTATTTTGCTAGTGGAATTTCACAAAGCGCCAACAAAGCAAATTGAGTAACTAATAGTAACGTCACTGACCATGTGAGGCCTCATAACCTAACATTTCTTAATAAATAGCGGAATAAATTTGAAAAATCTTTGGTAAATCGATAGATATAAACCAGGGACCGCAAATAATTATTATGAGTTTAAAAAAATTGAAGCCCAAAACAGTCTCCAAAAAAATTGGAAAAAATTGTCATAAGTTAAATTTTCATGGCGAATTCAAAAACAAGATAAATTTTTTTTTTCAATTTTTATGAAAAAATTTGATCTTTAATAATTAAAATAAATTATAATTAATAATTAAAAATTAGTAATAATTATTAAATATCAATTTTTATATAAAAATTACGCAATAACTTTTATTTTCAATTTTTATTATATAAATTGAAAAATAAGAATTATTCGATAACTTTTATTTTAAAAATTGAAAATAAAGATTGAATCTATATATCTTTTGATCCGTAGAAGCCAGATCCAATATATATCTATATATATGATCTACTCATCAATATATACCATCTGAAAGGTATTGATTACTAATCAAGAATATATATACTTTATAGGGTCGAAAACGCTTCCGTTTACCTGTTACATACTTTTCAACGAATCTAATATACCCTTTTACTCTACGAGTAACGGGTATAAAAATAGGAAGGTAACAAAATCTGTACTCACTTGGTGCAAATTTGAAGCGCACATCTATAGACGGAGACAATGCTGACCACAAATTGAAGAAAAAGCGCAAAGATTAGCCCGTACGCAGCGGAAACCTCACTATTAGCATTGATCAGGTCATACTAGGGGAATTCAACTGTTAGTAAATGTTGTCTTAAACGGGTCTAACCCCGGAATAAAATATACATACCTGCACGCCCTTCTGTTCCGCCATCCTGTTCAGATCTCTGGACAATCCCACGCCCGAAATGGCCAGAGCTAAGGTGCTGCTGGCGATGCAAACCAAACTGAGAGCCAAGAAGGCCGTTTGGGTTTTGCGCATGCTCACTACTCCTAGAGAACCAGTGACGGCGCCTATTAGGCCCGGCCAGATTCCGCATCCCGCCATAGATAGTGCTGCCTCTCGAACGATAAGGAGGGATCCCAGAGCTACCAGGGAAATGGCCAGGAGTAATTGAAGAGTGCCCAGCACTATTTGCAGAGGAAATGCCGAACAGCATTCATTACTCGCCTTCCGCTTGCGTCGATCCTTTGAGGAAAGCGACGGGGAGGCACTGCCTTCGCCCTCACTACCTTCCTTGTACTTGATGTATTCTGGTGGACAACGCTGTTTACGGCTAATCCTTGAGTCCAAAGTGTTAGGCGCACTCTTGGTGGCATTTACCTGCAGATAATAGAAATACGATATGATATGAATAGCCTTTTAACTCGACCTTTAACGGGAAAGACAAAGTTTATATATGTATATGTATATATGATGAAATTTATGATTTCATTTGGTAGATTTATATATAAATATTGCAAAATAAATAATAGAGAGATGTAGTAATTCTGACTGATATTATACCCTGTGGAAGGGAATAATAGATTAATTTTATACAACAATTTTTTAGTTAAAAAGGCTTAACATTTAACGATAAAAGTTTGTAAACTGGTGTTCCTTTAAACTTTAAACTTTTACTTGTTACGTACCTGATTAGGATGCCGGGAAGCCATCGCCTCCTCCAGTTGTTGCTTAAATTCCTGGTGCGAAATTAACTTGGGCTTATTATCCTCATCAATTTTAGCCTTTGTCCTTTCCGTATCTAGGTTCATGGCCTCATTCAGTAGTTTTAGCGCCGGCGGCTTCTCGTCGTAAACTGGACTCGAATATATGTGACTCTGGGCATCCTGGCGGACCTGTTCCTGGTGCTCCTGTTGTTTTCGCTCCTCATCCCTGTGTAACATGCCAATTTGCGAGTTGGTCAGACTACCCGCTCCTGTCGTGTTTGTGGCATTCGTGCTCTGCTCGATTGTGGTCACCACCAGATGGAGTTCCTCACGATTCAAGCTGCGATCCACAATGGTGTCCATGCTGCCCGTGGTGGAATCATGCGAGTCAATGGTACGGGCAGGCGAAGCCGAGTGGCGGCCATTGATGTCTCCGGCCCCTGGCTGCTGAGTGCTGGTATCGATCATTACTGCTGATTGGCTGAGATGATTGGGTTACTGCGACGGTGACCTCACAAGCTGCAGCTAGAAGAGGAAGAAATTTATTTTATATTTTGAAAAACGTTCAATCTTAATTATATTAAAGGCGAATTTTTATTGTAAAGGAAATAACAGGTTTATTTTAAATCCCATGTATACATATTAGAATGTTAAAAGAATTATCGCAGACCCTATAACTTTAAATGTGCCGGCTCGCAAGACGATGTCGTAGGAGTTCGCAAAAAAAGGATTAGGAAACAAGAAGGATCGCCAAAGTCTACTGCTACTATTAGATCGCCGCTACTCCAAAAGTGATGTCGCGTCACTGGCGCCATCTGTTGCTAGAACCAAATCAAGCATGTTTATTAGCTGACGGTGATGTGACCGCCTTAAATCCTCATTTCCTTAAGTCATTGAGTTGAGACTAAGCAGGCAGATTCTTGAGGTCCATGCGCACCGCACAGCATCCTGTCACGCCCACGCTAACCCCCACAAAGCACGAAAAACTAAAATCGCTGAAATCTCAGAACTATTAGAGCTAGAAAGTTCGGATTAAGTATGTATAATCTTGATTTGCTAGCGCATCTTATGGTGGTACCATTATCCCGTCACGCCTACTCCTTCGCCCACCTCGAAAGACAGCTTTCTAATGTTATAGAAGAACTGCTATCTTGGTAAATATAAGTAATAAAAAGTTTATATTACGCATGTAGCCTCCAATGAAAATAGTTTTTTCCGATTTTTTCACGCCAACTCTAACGCCCACAAAACGCGAAAAATTAAAAATCCGAAAATCTCGGGAACTATAAGAACTATATTAGAGATACCATTGCAACTCGACACGAGTTTTCATCCGGCAATGCCCACTCTAACGCCCACAAACTGCGGAAAACTGTGGCGTCCATAATATACATTTATAGTGTAGGTCTTCGTTTGACCTTGCATAACATATTTTTGTCAATATCTATCCATTTACAAAAGATTTTTCAAATCGGAACATAATTTTTATTGATTTATTTATGAAGAAATTGATGTTAAAAGGCCTCACATGGGCAGTGACTCCACTATTAGTTACTTAACATGCTTACTCTGTCAATAGGTGGCGCTTTGTGAATTTCCATTAGCAAAATGAATATTTTAAAATTGTGTAAACAGTGTTTCTTCTTGTTTTTAAATTAAATTAAATTTTAGCGACTGCTGGACAGTTACCATCTCAGCAAAAAGGGTGTTTTTCTAAGAAATTCTTAGTCACTCGAAAACAAAAAGTTAGAAAACTGAAAACGAAATAAAATTGTGTATGGAAATTAAAATAAATCTCTGAAACTGTAAGAAGCGTATAATTGCCAATTTTGAGGCTTTTGCTTATACTTTTACTCTATTTCTCTATTATAAATCGGTTAATAAAAATAAAAACTAGCTTGTGCAAGATATTTATATTGCAAGTTCTGTCGAACTTTCTGTGTAAGCAAGTTGTATAATAAAAAGTAATCTGATTTTTATTAACGCAACTTTCAAATTTATTCTTTACAAGGTATAATAAGTCTCATTTAGCCTCTTCAGATTCTTGGTTTCCTGTATTTTTTAAAATATCAAATACACTCTCAAGTATCAGGCACCAGTTAGGTTCTATACAGCCTTTGGCTCTTCAATTTTGTTGTCAAGGGCTGTTTTTTTGGCCGTGGCTTAGCGATTCGGCACCGAACTACCCGAAGGCATAGCATGTACGTTGCTAGAGTCTTTTGTTTTGCCTCACATTTTGAAAGGCGCTCACTTATTGCGATTTATCTACCAATCAATTGTATTTGGTCATTCGTCGATCGCTTGATTTAACTTTTGAGCAGCAGTTCGGTCGCATAATTGCCTTAATTATCGCCTGTTCTCTGCCCGCCACTTATGATATCTACTCAGAATCCGACCCAGCAGCGACGTGTATCACCCGGCTGGCATTGCTGGTGTTCTGCCATAGAACACCTTGACATTTGCTAGCTGCTGACCGGTTGGCATTGTTTTTGGCTTCTGCGAACCGGTTCGCACTTTGTTGCCAGTAAAACAAAGGCCAAAATATAATCCAAAAACTTAAATGAGAGTCAAAATGAAATCAAAAGACTAAACTAAAACAATCCCTACAGTAAGCGCATTTCTTAAATTTAATCCACAGAAATACATTTCTTATTCCATGAACTATTCTAAATATATGTTTATACTCTTATGTATAAAATAAGTATACGTGTCAATATTTAAAATGTAAATTGTGAATTCAAATTATTGCATTTCGTATAAATAAATGGACTTTTTTAGGCACCTTTCTATATAAAGCTAACTAATTAAAACTACATTTGCAATTGGGCATAAAAAACGATAGGTGTAACTCTTAAAGAAAACAAATTATTTTTTCAGATCACGATCTGCCATGGGCCATGGGTCGCATTGTTTTGGCGGTTCCATGCGGCGAATGAGCGATATCGCTTGGAGATAAGCCAGTTAAATGGCATATTATATGGCAAATTTTTGGCGCAAGTGCAAAATTGTTTTTTTTTTCTTGGGAAGTGGAGCAATTACAGCTCAGAAATGGAAACAGCTTAAATTGCATACATTCCAAGGGCTATTGATGTTATTCCAGGGGCTACTTGAGGCTATTATACTTTAATTATATATTCAAGACCATTAAGCCCAAATGCTTGTTTGGTGGCTTATATAGAGAAATATATCTATAAATAAATAAAACTAATCTGTCAGCAGCAACATAATAATAAACACCTAGATTAGACTTAGCCAAAACATTAAGTGCAATTGCCTGGCTTCGAAACTAAAAAGTGGGTCATTAGAAGACAAAAGTAAATGCAAAGCATGCCGGAGAGGATTGGTTAGACTGAAAGATGTGGTATTTTGTTGTCTGCCGGTTCGCTGTTGACATTTCGCCACTTGCAGCCAACTACAATCTTTTTACCCCTTTTTCCCGCCGGTTTTCCCCACATTCCTACCGACCGACGACAAGGCTTTTCACTGGCCCAAGTCCGGCTGATCATTTGTGCCACTTTTCATTTTCACTGTTGTGGCCTTGGCAATTAGGCGAAATTGGCCAGGCACACAACTTCATTAGTGTATGGTTAACTATTCAATTAAACAAACAATCAAAGAATTTGCCTAGTTATATCCAAATAATAAATCTTAAATTTACTTGATCAGCATAAAACTATCTTTTGGTAGCTTTCAGCATTCATTTGCTATCAACTAAACAAATTGTTGTTTGATATGAAATCAATGTTGCCAGGCCAATTATAGAAACATTTTGATCAATAGCCCGATTAGAGCATAAAAATTGTATGTGGGTGTGCCTTAGAAAACAAAATGTCTACGCTATTTCGAATCAATATTGGCCTTTTCATGTTGCTGTAATATTTAGTGACAAGCTCAGTAGCCCAACAGCAGCTGCTGCTGCACTCGAAAAGCAACCGTTCGCTTGATCAGCAAAACCACAACTCACCTCGAGAAACTTATGCAAAATTCGGAGTTTGTCGACCAATCCACAAAGCAAAAAGACAAAAAATAATGAACAGCACAAGATGAACTCTGGACTTTCAGCGATCATCGTTGCTTATTCCCCGAATAATGTATATAACAGGTAAAGGTATAGATTCATGATTAAGTTTTGCCGATTACTGCCCATGATACTTTAGTAGATAAGCAGCGTAGAGATCGTTTTGCAAAAACCAATATCGAACACAGATAACATTTTGGTTTCGCGGCTTGAAATGGAATCAAACTATTTCATTTGGATTATCATGTTATCTAGTGAAAGCACTACTTTCCTTAAGAGAGCCTAAACCAACCCAATGTTTACCTATTTGCAAAAAGGCCAGATTATTTTGTTTTGACTGCAAACTCATTTCTCTTTGCCGCTTCTGACGAAGAAAGGGAAAGAGAAACAAAATTATGGAAAGACAGAGGAAAGAGCAAGAAAGGGGTGGGGAGAAGCTGAGGAGAAGCTGGCCCCGATGACCATGATGACAATGATGGCGTGAGGGAAGTGGAATGTCGACAGATTTTCCTGAAAGTAATATTGCACCGGTTTGACAGCAGAAAACTTCGCTGCCGAGCTTATCTCTTTTGAGTATATACAAACTCCAGTATACCTGTATTTACATGTAAATATGTTAACACTTTCACTGGCCGGCGTTCCATAAAATCCGAAATTTTGGTGGCCAATTGATTGACATACACCAATTTTCATCCAACAATTTTTTATTGGAGGAGCCAGCCTACATGGAGGATTTCCTTACATTATCGACGCTGCCTTTTCCAGCGGAACCGAATAGAAATATGTTTTCGAAACTGTTATTTGCACGCTAACTACTGAGGCAATCCACTATATTTGCTAATTATTCCCATCTTTTGGCCCAAACGAAGTTGGAATCTTGCAAATTGGATTTGCCTTACTATCATAACAACTGTGGCCAAATATGGAATGTTTTGCTACAAGCGTTGGCTTGAATTATGCAATGAGGCGATCAACATGAAGGGGTGCGCACTTGCAGTAGGTAGGCAGTAGGTTACTCTACAGACAATAAAAATTCAAATTTCATACTTCAAATATCATACTTCTTTGAAGAATATTATTATCAGATTCATGGACACATAAGTTTGTTCTTAGGAAAGGAAATTGCTTAACATTGAAGAAAAAAACATGAATAATAAATTATTCTAAAATCAAATACATTTACAAATAGACAAAAATCAATCTGCGAGAACCCCCCAGTCACACCGAAGCACACAGTCACCTGCAAATGTTTGTTGTGAAGTTTTCCATTGACTGACTGATTGATTGACTGCCTGACTGATGACTATAGACACAACCAAAGCACGAGATGCAGCTGCAGACGACGGAGTTTCCTGCCACCCACGCAATCGGGGCTGGCTATATGTACTCCACAGCACTGCGGCAAGTATTATATGATTAGATATGATGCATGTCTACGTCGCCGTTGTATGAGGTCATTAAAACACCACCTGCCGTGACAGACAAGCTAAAAAGGCAAATTAAAATATCAAGAGAGTACGTGCAACACTAACAAATAACTGTGAAATGTGACACTGCAGCGCAGCTTGCAACACTCGAGTTGCTCTGCGTTGCATCATCTTCATCATTGTTATTATCTCAGTCATCCAAAGACAACAATCAAACAGCCTCAAGAACAAACGTAAATACAATGCAAATGCCAAGAACAACATTGTCGAGATACTCGTACGTACATATGTCTGTTGCGGCAAGTTCGTTACCTAAGTCATTCGATTGCTGGGCAATTTATGAGAAACACGAGAACATGAGAACACGGCACCGCATGTTCTGTTTGTAAGATCATAAAATTTAAAGGGAGTTCAATACGGTGCCTTGATGCTGAAGCGGAATGGATGTGACAAGTTCTAGTATGCAGCCCGAACTGTGCGCTGAAGGTCTTTCCTCCTCATCAGTCGGTGGTATTTTCTTGGCTTGGCAAAAGCTGGAGTTAATTTTATGCAGGCATTAGAACAGACAAATGAATTGGAATGAGAATAATTATGATCACGTTGATAATAGGGGCAGGCCGACGGACAAGAGGGTGCTAGCACACACATGAGTTGCATTTGGAACAATAAAATATTTAAGGCACACGAACAAAAAGTCCCTGGCCAGATAACAATTTTGCATTGTTTCTGACATTTTTCTTTTCATCTCGGCTTCGGATGTTGTCCAACAATGGGTTAAGAGAAGCCTTCAAAACTGTGCTAGCTTGCAATGCTTCACTTTTTGTTTGTGTATATTTGTTTTTGTTTTTCTACGGAATTTATTACCTTACCGTTAATTTTGTCCAATGGCACCATTGCGTATACTCAATGTTTTTATTTTTATTTTTGGGTGTATTTCAAGGAGGGCCAACCAATGACAATCAATTGGGCTGCTTTGTTATTCGTATTGTTGATTTCGAATTTGATAAAAAAGTTGTAATAAATGGATCTTCCAATTACAGAGAATAATTAATCAAGCGATGATAGCTCCTCGCAATTAACAATTTTTCGAGATATCGTAATCATCTTCGGGTCCCCTCAGAAACTCAGTCCATATCAGTGCAACGACAGCTTTGATCCATAATAAAAATATTTCGGATTTTAATCCATTGATTGAAGAGCCCCAAAGCACAAATTAAATGTTGTGGGCAATTATTTTTGATTATCACAATGATGAAAGACCTCCGCATTATATAATATATGCAATTGATAAAAATATGACCTTGATTTCTCTATCAAACTCAATTTGTTATTGTTAAATAATCGGACTGCGGATTATCAGCTTTTTAAAGTTAAAAGGTCGAATGAAATGCTAACTGTGCTTAAACCCAATCTTACTTTAGCTGAAGTATTGGTTTTCAACTTGATAGCATCATTAACCTAAAATGCCTTATACCTGTGGCTCATTAGCGTAGTCAGGTGCAATGACAGTCAAGCCGAAAGACCCCATCGACTCTGTGTCTGTAGCAATGTACGGGGTATCATAATATACTGCCTACATATATGCATATATCATATGGTTAGCTTCGTTAGCGTCGTGACTGCCTAATCTGGTTTGCACAACCATCGTGGCACGCATTCGAATTCGCATTCATACTCTCATTGCCCGATCACCTGGGTATATAGATATTGCCTCCATATACCACAATCCCCCTCCCGGTATCTGATCTTGGAATAAATAAGGAGGCAAGGTCGTCGACGTTTGCCGTCGCTGGAATTAACATTTGAAATGGCTTCATACGAAAATAATTGCACAAGCAGCCAAAGAGATCAAGCGGAAAATGGCTGAATGTTGGAAATTTGACTTACGCACTTGCCACAAGCACTCGGACACTTAAACACTCAAAAACGAGTGCAACGCTCGAGGCAGATAGCAGCTGGCTAACTGGTATAGGTACTGGCCAACAGACTGGCCAATTTGTGGACCAGCTTATAAAATTCCAAAAAGTAGACACAAAACATCAAACATAACTATTTTCATGAACGAGATGAAGTGGCAACCACCCGTGCCATTAGATGGAACTGCCGATTTTGGGAGGTTGCCCCGAAAACTGTGTAAAATACTGTGGCATATCTTACGATAACTAATGAAAACGCACAAACTAAAAAAAACGACAATTCTTTCATCAACATGAAGAATATGAAGTGAGGCTCCTTGCAGAGTTTTCTGTCAGTGCAGGCCCAAGTTTCGCGAACTGCGTCTGGTTCCCCCTTTCACTTTCATTTAGCCAGTGGGCAACGGCGAGGTTTTTTGGCCGCTTTGCAGTTTTCTTGTTTTCGCTTCGCATTTATTATTATTTATAATATGCGCACGTCATGGAAAACTTTCGCTGCATGCCACATTTGGTGTCTGTTTTGTGGTGTGCACTGCATTTCCTGCAATTATCGCATAAGTACATGTGCTGAGGGCGGTAAATAGAGCGGGGGTGGGCGTATCTGTTTCAAGTAGATATGAAGCGGTATGAAGCGTCTTCTCAGGTCTTCATAGATGTTCTTACCTAGCTCATTTAAGCAAAGTGCAGTGTATTCGCGATTCAATCGAACATGGAAGGTGTGGAAACGGCATTCCCCCGAAATGGAGACTCGAAACCTTAATCGAAACTAAGAGTTGCTCAACCGCCCATTGAAGTTATGAAGAAATAACTTTTATTACAGCCAACTTGCTGTCACAAAGCATGTTTAGCATTCAGCCAATTCAGCGATACAACAAAATACATTAAAGAAGGGTAAATAATTTGAAAAACTTAAAATCCAAATTTGCATTGAAACTGTGCACTTATATAATCGAAGCTTTGAAACACAAATTTGATGGAATGTTTTTGAGACAACATTTTGAAAACAATAAAAGTACGATAAATATTTTACTGTGAAAATGGAAAATAATTATGAAAAATGTTCCTAAGTTCGATAGTAAAGAACAAATAAGCAGTCTCAACGAGCACAAATTTGTTAAGTTGCCTAACGACTTTGCCTTCCACGAAAACTCAAAAAAAGGCAAGCAACCCTGAAATTCCTAGAAAGTGAACCCAAGCCCAAATCTTTCTGCCTCCTGCCCAGCTTATCCTAAAACTGTTCCCTCGAAATCTCTTCTCTAAGTCATAAACTTTAAGGTAGAATATATTGTTTGCCAAAAACATGATGTCTATGTTTTAGCTTATCTACATATTTGGCTAAAGGATTGCTGTTTGTGTTCAAGTTAAGCTGCTCCAAAAAGTGTTTCACATTTGCAATAAGAATATGTTCCTTTGATTGCATAATTCGAGTGTACCTTTTAGGCAAGTAGGGTATGAAGTCATGTTACATGTATGTACGAGTATGTTCTATATACAGTTAATACAGTTTTTTCTTAAACACCAACATTATTATACCCGTTACTCGTAGAGTAAAAGGGTATACTAGATTCGTTGAAAAGTATGTAACAGATAGAAGGAAGCATTTGCAACCCTATAAAGTGTATATATTCTTGATCAGGATCAATAGCGAAGTCGATTGAGCCATGTCCGTCTGTCCGTCCGTCCGTATGAACGCTGAGATCTCAGGAACTATAGCAGATACAAAGTTGAGATTAAGCATGAAGATTTTTGAGGTCCCAGGACAGCGCAAGTTTATTACAGCATCCTGCTACGCCCACTCTAACGCCCACAAATCGCAAAAAACTAAAATTGCTGAAATCTCAGGAACTATTGCAGTTAGAAAGTTGAAATTCAGAAAGTATAATTTTTAGATGGCAGCGCATCCTATAGTGGTACTACTATCCGGCCACATCCACCCATACGCCCACAAGGCTCAAAAGACGGTTTTCGGATTTTCTAGAAAAACTGATATCTCGGTAACTATAAAACATAAAAATTTCGGATTAAGCGTGTTTTCCGATCAAGCCACGCCCACTCTAACGCCCACAATACCCAAAAAACCAAAAATGCAAAACTCTCGAAAACTATAAGATCTACACAATTTTGCTTAGAAACACGTATTGAGAAAATGCCTCTGCAACTTGCCACGAAGTTGCACCCGGCCACGCCCACTCTAACGCCCACAAACCGCGGAAAACTGTGGCTTGTATAATATTATTATGAATGCCTTCGTTTGACCTTGTGTAACTTATTTCTGTTAATATCTATCGATTTACCAAAGATTTTTCAAATCGGAACATTATTTCGCCATTTATAAAGAAATTAAGGTTATAAGGCCTCACATGGGCAGTGACGTCACTATAAGCTACTCAACATACTTCCTCTGACAACAGGTGGCGCCTTGTGAATTTCCACTAGCAAAATAATATTTTAAAATTTTGTAAAACAGTAATGGGTATCTTATAGTCGCGGCACTCGACTATAGCGTTTCCTCTTGTTTTTGTAACTTATTTCCGACAAAGTTTTTTACTATTTCAGAGTTAATCCTTCCCCAGCTTTACAGGTTGAGAAATGCATACAGGCTTGCACGTGCTCGATAATGTCATTTGTAATTCATGATTATTGTACCTACTCGCCGCTCTTACTTTTCTTCCATTTTCTCTGTGCAAACTTACGCTAATTGAAGCGACGTCTGTGGCCTTTGTTTGCGCTATTTTTATTATTGTCTATTTATAGGCTATTTTCTCCTGCTGCTCCACTGCGTTGTTGTTGTGGCTATTGTTATTGCTGTTTCATCTCAGGTTGAATGAAATCTGCCCGCTTATTTAGCTGTTGTCACCGGCAGCGTGCTGCGTGCAATTAATAATCATCAAATTCCATTTCACTTTAGCACTTAACAAAAAAAATACATTCAGTGATCGTTAAGCCATAAAATAATCGAAGCTGGCGAAAACGATCAATTGCTCCGCGTTCCACACACAGTACCGTTGTTTAAAGTGAGAAGAAAGGAGAAAGAGAACACGAGAGAGCATGCGCGAGCTTGTTGCTCGACGGTGCGTTCGGTGTTGACTGAATTCAAGTTGATTGCTTCGGGCGCGTTCAACCATCGCTTTTCATAGTCGACGTCGCTGCCCAAAAAGCTGGCAAAGCGGAGCTTTAGCTTTTTGGTTTGCCACCTTGTTGTTGTTATAACAGCGATGACCGGTGTTGCCCAACCCCCGAAACAAGTGGCCCGGTAAGTCGGTTAGTGAAAATGTCTTACAGCAATAAGTCTTTTTATAAGAAAGACCCCACTCAATTTTAACAAGTCCTTTTCAAATTCTGGACTTCAGATAAAAATACTGTGACTAAACAAGTACACTTCCTAAAATGTTCTCATTCCCCTGCATAACCAAAATACATATGTAAGCTTATAACCTTCTTGTGCAAGCTGCCGATTTAAAAATATTAAGAATTAATTTTTCATTGAAGTTTCCTGATAGCAATTCATGAAAATAGCTAGATTTCACTAGAAAACCCAATAAAAGCGGCATCACTGACATCGACGGCTTTACAACCTGTTCGAGTAAATCTGCCTTAGAGAAGTGCCGACAACCATCAACAAACGGTAATGAGCGTTCAGCAGGCTCAGCAGCAACAACGCGCTTTCGAATATTGAACTTTCTGCTAGCATCTTCAATCTGCCAGCCGATGTTCAATTTTAATCTTAATCGCCTCTTGAACTGCAGCTTCGCCCAACAAAAACTACCTGTATGTATGCTGACGTTACGGCGGTACTCACCGATAGACGAAAATAATTAAGAGCGAATTCTTGTGGGAAATTTAGGTGGAAAATCGAATAAGAATATTAGCAGTGAAATCTCGAGACCGTGGAGAAAAGGGTAAGGGGCGCAGTGGTCTACTGAGTATATGTAGTTGTAATCAATAGTTGGCAACGAAGTGAACGGAACATGGCTTAATGTATCCATATCCAAGCCCGATCAGTCCCTTTAATGTCTTGACAGAGTCACATTATTAAATTTTTCGTTTCCAATCGACGGATTACCGAGCTCCCAACCTGCAGGGCCTTGACTCATAAATCGAAAGCTGTATTCACTGGAATGAAGGATCTTCATTTGGAAGGAGGAAGAGTGCATATATCCATGTTCACGGTTCAAAACATCGAAATCTCGGAAACTATTAAGCAGGCATATTTTAAAGTTTTGGTCACACCACTCTAATGTTAAAAAAAATGTCGCGACTCGGGATATTAAAGAAGGCCAATTCATGTATTTATTTAAATTACACATATCACTTTTACTATTCATACCAGTTACTCGTAGAATAAAAGGATATATTAGATTCGTTGAAAAGTATGTAACAGGTAGAAGAAAGCGTTTCCGACACTATAAAGTATACAATATGTATATGGAATTCTTGATCAGTAGTCGATTAAGCCATGTCCGTCTCTCCGTCCGTCCATATGACCGCTGAGATCTCAGGAACTAAAAGAGATACAGAGTTGAGATTAAGCAGGCAGATTCTTGAGGTCCCTACGCAGTGCAAGTTTACTTCAGCATCCTGCCACGTCCACTCTAACGCCCACTCTAATGCCCACTTATCACTAAAATCGCAAAAATCTGAGGAAGTTGTATACTCCTGAGATGTCAGCGCATCTTATGGCGGTACCATTATCCTGCCATACCCTCTTACGCCCACTAAGCTTAAAAGTCGATTTTAGGAATGCCACTGCAACTTGTCACGAGTTTTCAGACGGCCACCCCCTCTCTAACGCCCACAAGCAGCGAAAAACTGTGGCGTCCATAATATTATAGTGTATGTCTTCGTTTGACCTTAATAACATATTTTGGTCAGTATCAATCGATTTACCAAATTTGTTTTAAATCGGAACATTATTTCGCTATTTATGAAGACATGTACGTTATAAGGCCTCACATGGGCAGTGACGTCACTATCAGTTACTCAACATGCTTCCTCTGACAACAGGTGGCGCCTTGTGAATTTACCCTAGCAAAATGAATATTTTAAAATTGTGTAAAACACTGTAGCGTTTCTTTTTGTTTTAATTTAATTCAAGAAAAGTTGAACAGTTCAGGTCTTGAAATAGGATTGTTGTTTTTTATACGATATTAACTAATATAGTCCTGAAAATCTGTTTTTGAGAAATAGAAATCTTTGGTTTCCAAAAGTTTACGCTTTTTATATGAGTGACAAAAAATAATGTTGATTTGCTGTTTTTATACCCGTTACTCGTAGAGTAAAAGGGTATACTAGATTCGTTGAAAAGTATGTAACAGATAGAAGGAAGCATTTGCAACCCTATAAAGTGTATATATTCTTGATCAGGATTAATAGCGAAGTCGATTGAGCCATGGCCGTCCGTCCGTCCGTCCGTATGAACGCTGAGATCTCAGGAACTATAGCAGATACAAAGTTGAGATTAAGCATGAAGATTCTTGAGGTCCCAGGACAGCGCAAGTTTATTACAGCATCCTACCACGCCCACTCTAACGCCCACAAACCGCGGAAAACTGTGGCGTCTATAATATTATTATGAATGCCTTCGTTTGACCTTGTATAACTTATTTCTGTTAATATCTATCGATTTACCAAAGATTTTTCAAATCTGAACATTTTTTCGCTATTTATAAAGAAATTAAGGTTATAAGGCCTCACATGGGCAGTGACGTCACTATCAGTTACTCAACATGCTTTCTCTGACAATAGGTGGCGCATTGTGAATTTCCACTAGCAAAATTATATTTTAAAATTTTGTAAAACAGTAACGAGTATCTTATAGTCGCGGCACTCGACTATAGCGTTTCCTCTTGTTCTGTTTATGATTCTGAGCACACGACCGAAAGTGGAGCTTGAAACTGGTTCTTCGCGGTTGTTTTTGGTGTTATGTGTACTTTATGTTAATTGAAATCACATGAAAAATAACTCAATGCTATTGCCTTGGGTTAACGTGAGTGGAGAATCTATTTCGGCTTTTCGTATGCCCTTCACAAGCCAATCGTGTTACGTAACTGGCTTCAGGTTTTAGCATTTCTGGAATGACAAAGATATACTAGTACTTATAGGAATATACTGTGGATAACGGAGGCATTGCAAATGCTTAACGGCGGCAGCAGCCCACAAGAAAGGTTCAGATCCATAAGCAAACGGCAACAAAAAAATAGTACGAAATTATAGGCTATACGAGTATACTATTATATAAACCGAACGAAGAAGCGGCTACCTTTTGAGTGTGCAATTAAAACGCTTTGATTACTTTTTGGTGCGCAAAGCACAAAAAACAACAGCTTAAAAGTGTTTACGACTAGAGTGTCTGAAATAGGGCGTTCAACTCGCATTATGTGAAAAACAACACAACATAGAAATGTTTTAGTTATAGGCAATGCGGATAACATACACTTAAAAGGTTTAAAAAGTTTAAGTTTAGGCGGCTAGGCTTCTGATGCTGTGCAAGAATTTGTATATTAGTTTCGTCGAACTACAGTTTATTATACTTTTATCACTTTTCTTTCCTTCACCCGTTTCAGAATTATAAGCGGCCTGTCAAAATAAAAGCGGTTTTATTTTCCCGTTTTTTCGATTTAGCGCCTAACAACGTTAACAGCCAGAGAAACAGCATCACCATCTTCGACAGCTGTAACCAAGCTTGACAAAGATAAAAGTAAAAGTACGCCAAAGATAATTACCAGACGGCAAAAGGCATAAAATGCAAAAAAAACGGACTCGACTCCACCGCCTCTGCAAAGGCTGGTGCGAAAGTTCAGTTGACGCGACTATGAGATACCCGTTACTCTGTTATCAAAATGGAAATAATTATGCTAACAGTATTAGATATCTTGTACACTTTTGCTGGCGCCATTTGTTGCTGGAACCATAAAAGACAGGGGTTATATTGCCGGGCGGATAGTGCTAAAACTACTGGGCTATTAATCTTTATCAAGACTATATATACTATAGAGTCAGATCCATCTGTTACATACTTTTCAACGTATACGATATACCATTTTGCTACGGGTAACGGGTAATACGATTTACGCAAGTGGCAAAATAAAAAAGAAACAAAGAAACAAACCCGAACAAGGAGAAACATTTCAATAATTGTAAAAAAACTCCTGGCCAGCAACTTCATGACTGGTTTTCCAATCGTTATTCAGCCTTTTTCTGATTTTTCTTTATTTTGGTATTTTGTTACTTCTGGCACTCGCTTTATGTAAGTCGCAACCTGCTGTTGTTTGCTGCAGTTGCTGTTGCTGCTGTGACACGTTAATGTCTTAAATCTTTCGTTTGCTTTTCGTTTGCGGCTTGCCTATAAATCGATGATCACATTGCGAATGATGGCTGAATGTTAAGCAGAATGCGAATAAAAGTGCCTATACCCAATTAGAAAATTGATTTTATTTGCTATTTTCATAGCAAGCAGAAATTTACGCCATGTGTATCCCTGACTAAAATTGCTAAATCGGCTCGATTCTGATTGAGAATAAGGTCAGTCCTTCTACCTGTTAAGTATTCTCCAATGATAACAATGCACTTTTTTTAATAAAAATGGAACTTGAAAAGTTTGATCGATCCATAAGATAAAAGATATACGATTTTCAAAGAAACGGCCAGACGGAACCTCGGGATCCAAATCAATAAAGCCTAAGCTTATAACACCCTGCAAAGGAAAAAGCACAAAAGAGTCAAAAGGCGAGCCTCTAGAGTTTTGTCCTCCAGTTGGAATTAGAAATTAGCGCCAAAATAATAAAATGCCAAGCGAGCATAAATGCAGTTACTACCGGAACGCAGTTGGCCAGATACACAATGTGAGTATATGCCCACTCGAATTCGATAAATTCCCCTTAGCCATTGACCAGACAGTTAACAAGTCTAAGGCGACTAAGAAACGAGTTCCCCGCTTTGATCGTCGATGAGGCCAAGCTCAAAAATGAAACCAAGCAGCAAGTGTGGCACTCACACTGACGCGGCTCTGTCCCACACGCAGGTAAAATCACACAGATATGATAAACCGAAAATACGAAAAGCACACAGACGCA